TTAAAATGAGTTATGATAATGAGTTCTCATTATTATAATTAAAGGTTTTTATTAAATGTCTCTGATGCTTTGGTGGCAACTGTAATCGTTCTGGATAAAACCCTTACCATTTAGCTCATGAAGAAATTGCTATGATATCAGAAGATATCTTTCTGATATGCTTAGCACTGGCTAGACCTTTGCAAAAATACTAAATTTTGTTTTTGAGTCTTTAACTTTAGAAAAATTTGAAAATCTTGAGATTTTAAATATAATAACTATTTCTTGAAAATTGTTATGTATCCAGACATTCTTCTAATTGCTTTATAGTGATATGATTTGTTCCTCGAAGTAGCCCTGCAAAATAGGTAGCTGCATTCCTAAGAGTCATGACTCTAAATCTTAAGTGCCAAAAGAAAGAGGGTGGGAGAAAGTATATTGGCTTATGTGGCCAAATTGCCAGAAAGCTATGGGCAGAGCTAATGTCATGGAAGACTAGAATCTGGGGGGGGGCTTGCATAATATCAGGACTCTCTTTCTTCCTCCTCTTTACTTTTTTTAGATTGATTTCATTCTTTCTAGAGAATCTGTACCTAAAATGTAAGTTCTGTCAATAGAGATGGGTCTGAGTGACAGATGACACATAGTAGATGTTTAGTTGATGTATGTTAAATAAATGACTTCTGCAGAAGAGGGCAGGGTGGGGAGTGTGTGGGCTGCTCAGCCTTATTATTCATTGTTTAGAGAATAGTGGAAATGATTCTTCATCAGTTCCATTTTAGCAGATCCGGGTCAAGGACCCTGGCTGTATCACTTAATCCATTTTACTAGGGGATTTTTGATTGGCAGCCTCTACAAGAAGCCCATGGTTTGAAGGAGGCCTTCCCAGAACAAGAGGTACTATTCTGAGCAAACAACACAACTATCCACAATATCCCATTCTACAGATGTAGAAAAAGAACAGTTCAAAAAAGATAAACAATTGACTAAGGTCACAGATAGGAACTGGTAAAGTCCAGATTCAAACCCTGATTTTATGTTATATATTTATTTTTTGCTTTAAAAAATTTTATGGTTACATAATACTTGTCCATATTTATGGCGTACATGTGATATTTTGGGTCTTTAAATTTGTTTTAAATTGTAATAAGTTTGGGAGTACAAATTGAATCCTGTTATGGGTATATATTGTCTATATATGATATATATATTGCATAGTGGAGTCTGGGCTTTTGGTGTACCCATCAGCCAAATAGTGTCCATTGTATCCCGTAGGTAATTTTTTATCCCTCACCCCCTCCCAGCCTCCCCCCTTTAGAGTCTCCAGTGTCCATTACACCAGTCTTTGTGCCCTTGTGTAGCCATGGTTTAGTTCCCACTTAGAAGTGAGAATATGTGGCATTTGTTTTTCTCTTCCTGGATTACTTTCACTTAGGATATTGGCTCCAGTTCCATCCAAGTTGCTGCAAAAGCTATTGTTTCATTCTTTCTTATTGTTGAGTAGTATTCCATTGTATATATAACATATTTTCTTAATCCACTCATCAGTTGATGGGCACATAGGTTGATTCTATATCTTTGCAATTATAGATTGTACTGTGATAAACATGCAAGTACAGGGATCTTTTTGATATAATGATTTCTTTTCCTCTGAGTAGATAGAGGTCCAGTAGTGGGATTGCAGGATCAAATGGTAGGTCTACTTTTAGTTCTTTGATAAATCTCCATACTGATCTTCATAGAGGTTGTACTAATTCATATTCTCACTGAGAGTGTATAAGTGTTTCTCTTTTCACCTCATCTGTGCTAACATCTATTGTTTTTTGACTTTTTATTAACCTGATTTTTTTTTTTTTTTTTTTTGAGACAGTCACGCTTGGTTGCTCAGGCTACAGTGCTATGGTGTCAGCCTAGCTCACAGCAACCTCAAACTCCCGGGCTCAAGCGATCCTCCTGCCTCAGCCTCCCAACTAGCTGGGACTATAGGCGAGCATCACCATGCCTGGCTAATTTTTTCTATTTTTAGTAGAGACCGGGTCTTGCTTTTTGCTCAAGCTGGTCTCGCGCTCCTGAGCTCAAGCAATCCTCCCACCTTGGCCTCCCAGAGTGCTAGGATTACAGGCATCAGCCACTGTGTCTGGCCCTAACCTGATTTTAATAAACTCTGTGGCTTAAGTTCTTTCCACTTTGCCACTACATCACACTGGTAAAAGGAGCTCAGTGAACGAAGGTTGGAAATGGAGTAGGGTAGCTTGGCATCATGATGTTCTTTCTTTAGGAAATGCTTGATCACTTGACAGTTCTTCATTGTGATACTGGTATTCACAGATGCTGAGTTGTTATATGATCATGGAGCCTGTTAATAACTCTGGATAGGAGATAAAATGAGCCAGAAAAAAGTTATTTTCCTTTCTTAGTTATTTTGAAAAGACATATGTGAAACATGAAACATGTTAGATTATAAAGTCATTTAAGTAAAAGTTTTCTTTCTTTTTGCTGGATGGATTTTTCACTATTTTTGAAAAATATATAAGAATAAAAGTTAATAAATATCCTCAGGAACCACTGAATGTGAATCAGATTATGCATGTTTATAAATATTTCCTGAATAATTATTTACAACCATTTTTGCTTAATGGTACAAATAAGAGTGAAAGACTTTATTATTATAAAAAGTAATTTGTCATGAGCCAATTCAGTCTTTGAAGAAAAGCATATAAATGTTAGTATTGCTATTACTACATTTGGCTCATTGCAAAAGGAGCATTTAGTACCTGATTATTAGAAAGATACTTTCAAATGTTGCCAGATACCAAGTGCCCTCAGTTATGTCTTCTACAGATGTGTTTGATAGCATGTGTTTTGTAGGACAGAACCTTAGAGCCTATTTTCTGCAGCATGTGAAAGAAATTAGTCTATATTTGGTAATATAACAAATAATATGCTAGGTAAAAAAGTTGGTTTCAGCTCTTGAAAAGTGTTTTCAAGAATCCACATGTTTTACTCAAAGTAACTGTTCATTTCTTTTCTTTTTTTTTTTTTTTTCTTTCTTTCTTCTTTTTTTTTTCCTGAGACAGGGTCTCCCACTGTCACCCAGATTGGAGTGCAGTGATGTCATCATAGCTCACTGCAGCCTTAAACTCCTAGGTTCAGGTGATCCTTCTGCCTCAGCTTTGGGAGTAGCTGGGAATAGAGGCACTCGCAATCATGCCCGGAAAATTTTTTTCTAGAGATGGGGTCTCCCTGCGTTGCCCAGGCTGGTTGCAAACTCCTGGCCACAAGTAAGCCTCCCACTTCAGCCTCTCAAAGCACTGGGATTATAGGTATGAGCCACTGTACCTGGCCTGTCATTCATTCCTTTTAATATGATAAAAATGAAATAGTGACAGAAGTGAAATTAATTATAGGTACTAAAAAATGAGCCTCATTAGATAAAATTGTCAGTGGGTTTTGGGCATGTTATTTTAAAACAATCTCAGTTTGCTTTAAAAAAAAATGAGTTATTTCAAGCCATGTGTAGTAGTGCATGCTTATAGGTCCAGCTTCTTGGAAGGTTGAGGCAGAGAATTGCTTGAGCCCAGGAGTTTGGGTCCAGCCTGGGCAACATGGTGAGATCCCGTCTCTTTAAAATCTTTAAAAAAAATATATATATATATATATATATATAACACACACACACAAATACATATATGTATATGTGTGTATATACACATGCACACACATGTACATATATGTATATACATACATGTATGTATATACATATACACATACATATACATGTATACATGCATAAATACATATATACATATAAATGGCCAAGTAGTTGCCAGCCTTTTTTCTGCCTTCCCTTCACTTAGTAATAATATTAAGAAAAGTTCACTATGGGGGCAAGGGTTGTTGGTGATAGTGGTATTTATACCTGCTGAGGGCGGAATGTAGTTTAAAAAGCTTCTCACTGAGAGTTCTGCTAGTTGTTTGCTACTGTGGAGAACACCTAGTTTATGAAACCAAATGACCTTCATTTTATCATTGTTATTAGGACATTGTGTTTTCATATTTTTGCTTTACTCTATATAGGCAAAGCTAAGTGGACTTTTTAAAGTTTGGTCACTTGTAGACTAATTGAAACACAACCTAAAAACATTTAAAAGCAAATTTAATTATTAAACTTATAATAATTTCTGAAATATATTTTTAGTTTTCTAGAAATTACAATTTTGCAACTAAACCAAATTATCTGGTTTTTTTTTTTTGTATAACAGAGTGTTCTATCATTTAGAGCTGTTAAATAACAAAAAATTGTATCTGTTTTTAGTTTTCTTTTGTATTTCATTTTTCTCTGAAAATGTCCATGTTTCTCTAGGACTAGCTTTCTTTTAGAAATCTCTGGTAAACTGTGAAATTATTTTATCCCGGGGTTGTTGTTGTCTCCCATAATATATCTGAATTCTTAGATTTGCCAGCATGGTGTTAAATGACTATGTGTCCATCATCGGTGTTTATACTGAGCTCCCAGGGACATCTGTGGTCCTGTGTGAATGCTAACAACAAAGCTGGTCTATGTGCTTATCTCCAGGGAGAACTGGAGTGCTACCCTGAGGTTTGGGAATGTAAGGAAGGGATTAATTGCAGCTTTTGGTACCAGTTTACCCTTATGCTGTTAGGTACATAAATCTAGTTGGTACCAGGTCTAGAGGCTGAGCCTACTAAGTCTATTGCTGTCACCAGTTTCATGACTTTGGATGTTGGGCCATTTCCTAGACTCCTCAAATTTTTAGGTATTCCTTCTTTGTGTTTCCATAGTAACCCTCCCTCTGTATCATACCCTGTATCCCAGTATTGATTTTTCTTTGCCTGTAATCAGATGACTGAGTGAAGTCTGACTAAGTAAATCTTTGAAATGTCCAATTGACAAGGAGGAAAACTAAATGATATTTTTTCTTTTTTTAAAAAAGAGATCATAATTCAAGTCTTTGTGATCTAAGGCAAAAACAAAACAGAAAAAAACCAAATAAACAGATGCTTGCTTGGATTGACTGAATACAGTTATTAAAAATAAATATGGAAAATGAACCAGACCATGAAAATGTGGAACAGAGCCTCTGTGCCAAGAGTACTGAAGAAGAACTGAATAAGTCTTTCAATCTAGAAGCTTCGCTTTCAAAATTCTCTTACATAGATCTGGACAAGGAACTGGAGTTCAAAAATGATCTGGTAAAAATTTCAACTTTTATCAAGTGAAGATGTTTCACCAAAGTATTGGTTAGAGCATGCTTTATGACCCAAAGACTCTAATAAGGCTATCATTTTTGCATGGGCTATTAGGAGTCTGTATACAGTTTTATGAGATAATATCACTCTTCATTTGTATAGTCCATTGCAGTTTATGAAACACTTTAATTCATGTTGTCGTTTGAGCTTTACAGCTTTCACTCTGATAATCCATTTTATAGGTGAAGACACTGGCATGCAGCTATGTTAAATGACTTCGTAAGGTCATAGAGCTAGTGGTATGTTTAGAATTCTTATCTTGCACAGAAATTTTTTTCGCTGTTGATTTAATATTATATTAATGGGTTTCTGTGACTATGAGAATATTTAATGACAAGTTACTTGACCTAATAATCTCCCATCATTATTTGTGAAATAACTAAGAAATGGGATGTTAGACTTTTGCTTAATGCTTATGACTTATGTTTAAATTTAGAATATTAGGAGTTGTCATAAGATATGCTGTTTTGTCATGTTTAAGAAAACACATGCAGAAGTCTTTCAACAGAAGCTTTCTGGAAAGGGCTGTCAGGATGGTGCAGTCAGACTATCAAGGTGTCCTTGATAGTCACCAAAAGGAAACTATTCTGTAATCTTTTAATCTGACCCTTAGTTCCATGGATTTTTGAGTTGACTATATGATGTTTGGTGGGAAGTTTGTCTTTTAACTGATGATGGTTCTAATCAATTAAAACACCCGCAGAATTATTAGGGGAAAGGATCATTACGAGAGCATTAATTTATTTTCTTTATTTAGATTGATGACAAGGAGTTTGATATTCCTCAAGTTGATACTCCTCCAACACTGGAAAGCATACTAAATGAGGTAAGTAGATATTAATGATCACTATCATTTTGTAGCATTGATTTTAATATTTTGGGGGCTAGTTGTAGTGTGTGTATCTAGATGTGCACTATCCAGTATGGTAGCCACTAGTTTGTTACATATATCAATTTAAAATTTCAGTTAATTACAATTAAAGAAAAATTCAATCCCCTAGTTTCACAAGGCACATTTCAAATGCTCATTAGCCACATGTGGCTAGTGGCTGCTGTAGTGGACAGCATAGATACAGAGTATTCCCATCATTGCAGAAAGTTCTATTAGACTGCGCTGGTCTAGATGTGAGCTTCTCAAGGACAGGAACCATGACTTGTTCATCTTTAGGCTCTGCGCCCAGCACAATGCCTAATACTTGGTAGACTTAAAAAATATATCTTATTAAGTGAATTGAAATACTAAATTTGTCACTTTTGAGGTTTGTATTATGCATTGATAAGGATTAGTTGACTCTAGCAGTGATATTCCAATAGCTCATCCTCTGATACTGAAGAGCATCTTGCAACATTATAATGAACTTCAATACTCTTCTACTTGAAGAAAACCAAACTTTTATAGTTCATCTTATGAATATCATCTCTATTAAAAAGTGTTTTACTGTTTTGAAATGGTATTACTCTTTTCTGAATTGGCAGATCAAAGTCTTTATAAAGGAACTTTGTGAGAATACATGGTTGGTGAAGTGTGCCCGTTTTTATGTACCTTGTATATGCTGACAACTCTTCACCTCAGTCTTCTTGATCTTTTAAAAACTTGCTTATGACTTCCCTTGGAGGATTTAGCTTCAAATTTGAGACTTTTTAAATGTATAAATCTATTTCAGATCCATAGTTACGTTTTTTAAAAGATAAAATTGCAAAGGTTCCTCAACGGAAATGCCTACTTTGGTGGGCACACTCCGAGTGAGTTGGGCCTTTGTCTTTGTTATTTCTTTGCCTATACTTCTAGGGTTATAGGCAACACATTGTAGGATGCAAACTACCTTCTCAGTGAAGTGTACCTTTTATTTTTCTTATATGGCTTTGATTTCTATTTTTTTATATCAGTTTGATGTTGCTATTGCTTTGAATGTATTTTACCTTTGAATGTGTTTTAACTTCAAAAATGTTCTGTGTTAACACTTAAGTATTTTTCGTTTTGATAAAAAAGGCTTTGGTCTGTGAAAGAATATCCTGTTACAGTGAAATGTCCCATATTTATTACTTTCTAATATAGAGGAAATCTTTCATTTAGAGGTAAAGAGATTAATTTTAATCAATCTTGTTAAAATGGTCTTAATCACATCCTCATTTCAATTGTCTAAGTATGAAGTAAAAATAATCTTAGAGGACTGTGTATTAAGCCCTATGTGTATATTAATATCTTTATATTGGCAAAGAAAATAATGCTAATATGAATGAGCTATAGTTCGTAATGAAGGAAAACTGTCCTTGTACAACTTTCTTATCTATGAGAAATAGTAAGTACAGTCATTAGTGGTTTACTGAGAAGATAATATTGTTATCATCCTCAATAGTAATTTGAGTGCCTAGTGTATTTGGGTCATGGCATTAGATGTTGGGATTATAAAGTGCTTAAGAAAGAAATGGTACTGGGAATTGGCCAAGCTTTACACCTCCAGGAAGCTAGGCAAGTAGTAAGTGAAAGAAAAGATAATTTAAGTTATAGATCATTATGAAGACTCTAAGGGGGGTGTGGGGAATATTATATAAAATGATTTTTTATTAATGAAAAGGGCAGAAGTAGAAAGTATAAACGAGCCCTTGCTCCAGGATATGTAGATGCATATATTTTATAATGTTCATTAATATCAACCTGAAGAGAGGCTGGGACAAAAATGGACATCCAAGATATTTTAAAAAATGAAAATTTAGAGGTTACTGAGACAACCTAGGTCTCAGAATTTTGGGCTTGAAATAATGTTACTAGGCCTTGTCATCCTTTGAAAGTGTGCTACCTCTGAAGTTTTTAATTTTGAAATTCCATTCTCTGATAATAACCTTTTTTCCCTTATTTCCTTACTTCTATTAAACTTGTTCTTTGACTTCATCAAGACCAAGTGTCTTGATCCTTCCTAGTCTTCCGCCCCTGAGAGTGGTCAGAAACTACTGGGTTTAATCTCAATCTTACTATTGGATTGTGCAGCCAGAAATATCTTTTGAACTTTTTATCGAAGTATAACATACAATCAGAAATGTGCACGAATCTTAACTGTACAGCATGGTGAATGTTCACAAACTATACAACCTGTGTAACCAGAATCTAGATAACGAAGCAAAATATTACTAATACCCCAGAAGCTCCTCTTGTGCCCCTTCAGCACCCAACCCCAGGGTAATTACTATGGTAACTTCTATCAGCATTGATTGGTTTGCCTGCTTTGAACTTTATGTAAAGGGAATTATACAGTATGTAGTCTTGTGTGTCTGACTTATGTCCCTCAATATTATGTATTTAGATTTATTCATACTTTTGTATAATTAATTGTTATTCCTATTGCTATATACGATTCTTTATGAATATAGCATTATTTATTCATTCTGTTGATAGGCATTTGTGTAGTTTCCAGTTTCTGGCTACTATGAATAGTGCTGCTGTGAATTTTTTCTTAATTGTGTGTTTTGGTACACACACACACACACACACACACATATGCACATTTCTGTCGGCATATACCCAGGAGTGAAGTTGGTAGGTCATCAGGTATAGTTATATTCAGCTTTAGTATATACTGCCATAGCTTTTCGAAGTAATTGTATTGATAAATACTTCCAGCAGTAATATATAAGATTTCTGATTACTAAATCCTTGTCAACTTTTTAATTTTTCTGTCTTCTTCACTTTGACCTTTTATTCTTACAGATGTGTAGTGATATCACATGGTTTTAATTTGCATTTCCCTGAGGACTTATGAAATTGGGTAGTTTAACACATGTTTTGGCCATTTGGATATCTCTTTTGTGAATTGCCTTTTCATGCCTTTAGCCCACTTAATTCTGTTGATGTTTTAAAAAAATGATTTATAGAAGTTCTTTATATATGCTGTTATAAGCCCATTATTAGATATAAATATTACAAATAATTTCTTTCATTCTGTAGGTTACCATTTCACTTTATTAATGGTTTCTTTTGATGAGATGTTCTTAATTTAGTTCAACTTATTAAATTTTTCTATTATGGTTAATTTTTTTGTATGTCCTGCTTAAGAAAATTTTGCCAATTCCAAGGTCATGATGATATTATCCTGTTTTGTTCTAAAATCTTCATTATTCTACCTTTACATTTAGATGTGTAATTCATCTGTAATTTTTGTGTGTGTGCGTGTGTGTGATATTATGAAGTATGAGCCAGCACCATTTACTGAAAAAAGTGTTCTTGTCTGTGGTGTCACTTTTGTTATAAATCAGATGATCGTGTATGTATGGGTCTGAGTCCATTGGTCGAGACAGATACTAGATACTTGATACAGATACTTTGATACTTGCCCCAATATCAAATTCTAATTATTGAATCTTTATAATAAGTCTTGATATCTGGGAGTTTTAAAGCTTGCAACTTTGATGTTATTCCTCAAGATTGCCTTGCTTATTTTTGGTCTTTTGCATTTCCATGTAAGTTTTAGAATTAGTTTATCAGTTTTCGCATACACACACACACACCGCAGCAGAAATGTGATAGGACGGTATATATTTTATACACCAGTCTGGGGAAAATTGGTATCTCTTCTGTGTAATAGTAGTTTTAAATTCAGTCTTGATATCATCAATTCTTTTCTTTCCTTCACTTTTTCTTTTACTTATCCTATAAGCCTGGCTTACCTCATCTGATCTGTTTTCTTTAATTCTGTCCCCAGGCTGCTTGAGAAAATCAAATAACATTTTGATTGACTCTTGCTTAAGACCTTGACGCTGTAGTTCTTATTTCTGAATTACTTCCTTTCCTGTTTCCTATAGCAATTGTTCCAATATTTTACAGCTCTGAAGTAACATAATGTCTCCTTGCCAGTCCTAACCCTAATCTTAGAAGACGTATGTGTGGAGGTATCTGAAAAGCAGTTGTAAATTTGGACCTAAACCTCAAGAGAAATGTTGATACTAAAGAGACAGATTTTGGAGTCTTTAGCATAACGTGGTACTTGAAGCCATAGATAGGGATGAGCTTACTCAAATAGGAAGTGTGTGAAGTAGGAAGAGAAGACAGCTAAGAATATAATCCTGGAGGACAATAGCATTTAAAGATTGGGCTGAGGAGAAGCTAGAGCACGTGATTGATAAGAGGGCACATAAGTTGGAGGAGAACCAGGAAAGAGAGATGTACTGAAAACCAAGGGAAGAGAAAGTTTCAGGAAGTAGGGAATTTTCAACAGGGTTAAATGATGCATGGGGGACAAGAGCATGTTAACTGAAAACAGGCCAGTGGATTTGGCTAGTAACTTCAGAAGGTTAGTAGTCAGTAGCTTGTAATTAGTGGAAAAAGTGGAGATAGTATAGATTACTCTCTCAAGGACTTTGATTGGAAGTGGTAAGGCAGAAGGTAGTCCAACTGAAAGAGAAGGTAAGATCAGAACATTCTTTAATGTCTGTCACTCAGAATCATCATATGCAAAGCCAAGTTCCTCATCCTGCTTTATCTGCTATTTGTCTGCTTTCTCATCTCAGCTAGCAGTATCACCTTTTGCCTAGTTTTTCCAGCTGGAAACCTTGGAATCTTCTTTGACTTTTCCCTTACCTGCCCCCGACACCGGGCCAAACACAACAAACATTTAAATGGTAACCAGGGACTTTTGATCTCAGTAATGTCTTTTTCATCATTCCCTCTCTTGACTTCTGCAGCATTCCTAGGCTGGGATCCCTTCTCTTTCCTTGATATTGCAATAACTCTCTTACTGCTACTTAAGTCTCATCTTCTACCCTCATCCATTCCTCACACAGCCCCATATATCTTTCTAAAACATGGTTCCCATCATGTCTCTCCACTTCTTGCTTTCTATGTATAGCATACTAATTCATTAAATAAGTGAGCACTGATTACGTGGCCAGCATGGTACTAGGCACCAGGGGTACAGTGGTGGACAAGATAGACATGGGCCATGCTTCCACATAGCTTAATGGATGGAGTATAAGTCTTTTTACAATTTGGATACCAGCTTATCTTTCTAAGATTATCTCTAACTTCTACTCATATACTCCAGCCATTTTGGACTAATTTCTTTTCCATGGGCAAAAATCCATATTATGAAATTGCTGTATCTGCACATGTTATTTCTTACCTAGAATGCCTTTCTTTTGTCTGCTTGTTATATTTTTCATAGTAGACTATTTATTGTCAGGTGCTATTTGTTTTCTTCTCATTAGCTATTGGCTTTTAACTATTAAAGCACCTGCATGGGTTTGAATTTTAAGAAATATTCTGTAGCTAACAATAATCTGCATAAATACTCCTGCTTCTTTCTGCTACAAGAAAGAAATTTTTGCATTGATCTCTTTGTAAAAAGAGGGATGTACCTAGAGTTGAAATTTAATTCTGGTAATTATGTTCTATGCCTCTCTGGTCAATAAGAATGTGTAGAATGGAGGTGAAAAGCAGAAATAAGCACGTGAGTACTTTGGAGAAACCCATTAATGCTTACCTGGCTTGTTTCATAGAGTATGTGGAATTTTGATTTATTGATCTTTCTTCCTCCAATTTAGACTGATGATGAAGATGAGTCTTTTGTTCTTGAGGATCCTACATTGTTAAACATTGATACTATTGATTCTCACTCATATGATACTTCATCTGTGGCAAGCTCAGACAGTGGTGACAGGACCAATTTAAAAAGGTAGGTATGCATGTCAATCACACTTGCATATGGTTGAGATATTTAACCATTTCAAATGTAAATATATTTTTGTGGTACAGTGTGGTCACTGAAGCCCTGCATGGGAGTAGAAGGCCCACTTGTATGGAAATAATATGCTTATTAGATCCTAAAGATTTTGACACTCTTGGGGAAGAAGATAAAAAGAAAAGGTGGGTACCATGACCGCTGTCTTCCGAAGCCCCAGTAGGAAGCCATAATAATAGCCAGGGATTCCCAGAAACAGTAGAACCCTTGGAGGGAGCACAAATCAAACCTGGCAGTGTCTGCAGTGGGAACATGGAGCTTGGTTCACCACCTTTCTGTTCCCTGCATGTCCCCCCTCCCCTAAGGTCAGCCCCAGCATTCCTTCATTCTCTTGGAATGAAGCTCCAGGGAGAATTACAAAGATGATTAAAGTTTTGGGGAAAGGACTACTAACCCTAAATAACTTCAATTTTGGCTGCATTTTACCTTTCAAATTTTTGGAGGGAACATAAAAAGGAAAGAGAAATGGCAGAATCATAATATAAATATTTTATTGAATTCATGTATAACTTTAATATTGATAAAGTTATCTGTGTATTTTTCCTCTCTTTTTAAAATTTTGTGTGTATCAGGCGCTGTCTTTAGGTTATTATTTCTTGTGAGATAGGGGCCATTGCCGGATATGTTAACCTGTTCAGCACTGTGTCCTACAAACAGATAAATGTTTTTCATGATCTGGTCACTCCCTGCTTAAAAGATACGGTGTTATCTTATTGCCTGCATAATAAAGTCATAACTGCTTTGCGTGGGCCCTGTCTGGACCCTGCTTACCCTTTTGACCTAATGTCTAAGCACTCCCACCCCAGTCCTCCCAGTCCATGACTTTTGTGTGTTCACTGTTCCCTAGACACACTGCGTGCCTTTACATCTTCATATTTCTGCTTGTGCTTTTTGTCTGACAGACTTGAGCCAAATCAGACATCTTCTCTTTTCTATAGCTATCCCTGAATTCCCCCAAATAAACAGAATGAAACTTTTCTTCATTTGCATTTATATAGTACTTTATTCATATTTCTAGTCTAACCTTTGTCCTTTAATTTAAGAGTTGCTTATCTAATGATGCTATGAGATCCTTGACAGTAGGAACTATGACCTCCTTATTTTGTATCCCCGAGCATGCTTTTAGTCATACAGAATAGGTCCTCAGTAATGTTTGGTAAATGTTTAAAAATTACTCTTTGCATGATGATGAGTAGGTGAAAGAAACTGTTAATAGGAGTAGCAGAGAATGAGTCAAGAATGGGGAATTCGAGAAGGTGGTTGGTTGAAGAATGAGAATGGTGGTTGTAGACAGGAGGAGGCAAGAGGGTAAGCAAACGTAGCCATGCAGGGCAGAAGGAGGACTCTGTGGGCACCTTCTGGAGAATAGCAGAACTTCTTGCTATATTACTTAAGGTGGGCAAGAAACAGTTTGAATCAGTGAAAAAAGAATGGTGATTTTATTCATTTTCCTGCTTGTGTTTCTCTGAGGTTCACTGTGGGTTTAGTACAACATTTTAATGTGAAACTATTAGATTCTTTATACTTCTTTTTCAAACAGAGCTAACAAATTACATACAGTGTTATTTTCCACTTTTCTTTCTTTTTTTTTTTTTTTTGGTATGTTTTCTTCTTTCAAAGCATTGGGACCTTGCCTTTTCAAATTTTTTTGTCCTTGAAGTATTCATTTTTTTTTTAGGAAGAAGAAATTACCTGATTCTTTTTCACTCCATGGATCAGTTATGCGACATTCACTTTTGAAGGGAATTTCTGCCCAGATAGTATCTGCAGCTGTAAGTATTTTGTACTTTCCCCCCAGCTTTATAACCTGCAATGGCATAATGAAGTAGGAATGAGCATAAAACAAAGCACAGCACTTCTCTTGGCCCAAAGCTTAAGAAAAATAGAATCTGGCTTTCATGGTTTTTGTGTGATTATTTTTGACTCATAAGACATGGCTACACATCTTGATGTAGAAATTAGTGCAGCCATGAAAATAAAGGTCTGCTCAGAGTCTCGGATGTGCCTAAATGAAATATGGCAGCAAGCCTAAAATAAACACTATCTGCCTTTTCTTTAAATTCCTTTTCAGTTTAGTTGCCATCTTGTGTATTTGATTGAGGTAGAGTGCTTGTTTTTTTAGTCTTTTCATATGGAGAAATGATTGATCGGAATCTTTTACAACTGAATGTTTTTTTATAATTCACAAAAGCCTTTTCATGTACCTTATTACTCTTACAACTTTGAAAGTAGGTAAAGCCATGGTGTTCTATTTTACAAATGAGAAGATAGGCTCAGAGAGGTGATATTAACTTGTCTTACTTAATTCAGTTAGGAGGTAGCAGGGCAATTGTTCAAAATTGGGGTTTCTGGCTCCAAGTCTAGTGCCTCTTTGTTGTGAAAGGAGGTGGCTTGGGTGAATGTGCCCAATGTATAGTGGCTGGAACAGAATGTCTGTGACCTTTTTTGAAAATGATTTTGAGCACTGAGTTAATGTAAAAAACATTTAATAGTGCATCAAGACAATAGACACTGATGAAACTTTTTCTTTGACCTCAAAGCCCATAGTTTTATGTAGTCTTTGAATTCTGGTTTTGTGAATTAAATATTCAGATCCTGTGTATAATAATAATACTAATAATGACAGATTCAAACTCCAGGAACTTTGATCTGTTTTTATGTTCTTTTTATGGAGTTTAATTGGTATTTTACATATTTAATTTGGACAAGGTTTTGATTTTTCATGAGGGTAAGAGTTGATATAGGAGTGCATCAATTCACCACAGTTGCATTGCAGTTTTTAGGTTTATCTGAGAAAGATCTTAGCTCAGATACCAAAAAAAAAAAAAAAGTATTCACTATGGACAATGGATATATCCTGATCCAGCTCATATATCATGAATTCAGTTTAAATGGAGAGATGGTCAAGCAATGGAGGAAACCTGGGCAATTGTCCTTCCTCTTTTAGGTGGAGAGTAATTCATATTTGCTGGAATGGGAACCACCTGTTGAGGATTACATTTCCATGACGTTTTCTGAATTTAATTCTTATGTAGGTGATGAAATTCGTTCCTTTCAAAATCAAGATGAACCAGAACAGTCATTTGACCCACCTGTGCAGTTTTAAAAATATTTTGAATAATGGAGACTGAACTAAAACTCAGACTCCGAACAATGATTAGATAAATCTGTTATTTAAAAGGGTTTCTCCTTCTTCTTGAAGAGGAGGGGAAAATTCTAATAAATACCAGAGTGTTTGCATTCTGTTTTTATTTCATTGCTATGGCTGAGCTCCTTTGGTATGTTAAAAAGAAAACTGCTTTTCCTGCGACAGCCATCACACAATACCTTCCTATTTTTGGATTACCAGCTCAATTTAAGTTGCATGCTTTTCTGTGATGGTTGGTTTATCAACATGTAAAGCTAGTTATATTTTTGGGTGTTTGTCCTGAATAATTATTCAATAGTGCCTTCGGCCATGTGGATTGTGATGTTACTAAGGCTGCTTAGGGCCTTGGTCATTATAGTTTTAGAGTCCATGCATGGAAAACACTCAGGAGAGATGAAATTTGTTTGTTTGTTTTGAGCCAGGGTCTTGCTCTGTCACCCAGGCTAGAGTGCAGTAATGCAATTATAGTTCATTGCATGCAGCCTCAAACTCCTGGGTTCAAGCAATCCTCTTGCCTCAGCCTCCTGGATAGCTGGGACTACAGGCATGCGCCACCATGCCTGGCTAATTTTTCTTATTTTTTGAACTCCTGGCCTCGAGCACTCCTCCTACCTCAGCCTCTCAAAATGCTGGGATTATAGGCGTGAGCTACCACACCCAGCTGAGATGAAATTTTGGAGTTGTAACACTCATTGGTTAATTTTGGGATCTTTCTCAAAGAAATATTACATATGACTATATTTTAAAATAATTCAAACTAACATTTTAAGGATCTTTATCATTTTTATGATCAACATTAAGATACTAGAGATACCTTAGTGCAGTGTTCTTTTTTCAAAATGTGTCCACTGCATAAGAATCTCCTTGGGTGCTTATTAAAATGCAGATTCCTGGGGATCACCCCAGACCTCCTGAATTAGAATCTTTAGCAGGGTAGTATAGAGATCTACATTTTAACAGGCATCCTAGGTGATTCTAATGCACTCTGGCTTTTGAGAACTGCTACCCTCACATGTTGCAACACCAGTACTAAAATCCTGTAATCCCTAAAATGCCTCCAAACATCTGTGAGTTTTCAGCCTTTGAAGTCAGGTGACTTCTGATTTCATCATTCAAGTTCCATTTTGAATATAGAGCGGATCCTTGAATAATGTCGCTTTGTCCAATGTTATTTCATTATAATGTTGATGAGAAAAAAAATGGTTTTGTTATAAGTCGTTTCACTTAAAGTCAGTTTCCAAAAACCTATTGACAATGTTAAATGAGGACTTACTGTAGTTTATATTCTTTATCTGCTGTCTTAATTTTCCTCTTTTTTCTTATCTAGGACACAAATCAATCATTTATTAAATATTTATTGCATGCTTTGTAATTGTCGAGCGTTATGTCAGGCATGTTTTATACACACATACCTAAACACAAAGGTGGGTATATGCTGCTATCCAGAACACTGTATACAGCAACCTTGGTGATTGTTCTTTTCTATGTTTCCATGCACAGGAGTAAGTTTCTGAAATTAGTTCCTGGGAAGCTCTACACAGTTGGTTAAATAGATTCTGCCTTCTGAGAGATTATAGTAACTAATTGAACACACTGACAGGAATAGACATAGAAAAGAAGATATAGAAGAGTTATAAAGAGCCTGGCCCAGGAACTGAAAGCCCTGAGTTTGAGACATAGTTCTACCACTTACTGAGTAACCTTGGGCATGTCAGTTAAGCTCTTTGAAATTTCTATTTTCTTAATTTGGAAAATCAGAATCATACTGCCTGTTCTTTTCTCTCTCCAGGTTAGAGAATCAAATGGTGTAATACATGTATGTGAAAGTTTTTTGCTACTACAGTGCTATATCACTGCAAACTGCTATTATTTAGAGCTGTATAAGCATCAAACATACTCTTACATCATTCCTTACATTTAATTTGATCCTCAGGACAACTCATTGAGGTAAATAGGGCAGTATTTGCTATTTCTTTGAACAGATGAGGAGACTAATAGAAAAGTCAGATGATTTTCCCAAGGTCATGTAGTTACTGATAAGGACCTGGGACTAGCACTTCATGTTTTACTTTCTTATGCTTAAGAACTGACTTTATATATCCTGCTGGGGTTTTATTTAGAGATTACTGAGTAATCTGCTAGGTAAGAGCTCCTACATTATTAGAAATAGAACATGTTTCCTTTTCTCAAATCTTTATATACTCTTACCATTTTGACCCCATAATACTTACAACTTTATTCACATTATAGAAAACTGAACCTCTTTTCTCTTTTTCCTTCACATTTCCATTTATAATCAGTACCCTTCCTGAAGCATCTGTTATAGTTAGTAAAACAAAATGATATACTCTCATACTTTCTGTATTTGTTGATATATACAGCTTTTGTAATTTCTCTTAGTTGAGGGCAAAAATGAAGGTTCCACCTCTTGTCTGAATTGATTTGGATCACAGTGTATGTAAAGAGAGATCCTTATACCATTTTTGGTTTTAAAATGAGAATATCTTTTCAAATATTTTTTTTTATCATTTCATTTAGGACAAAGTAGATGCTGGCTTGCCCACAGCAATTGTAAGTATACATTAGCTTTTTAAAGGTAAGCTTTTTACTTGATTGGGTTTTCTTAGATTTATTCTTATAATGTTCAATAATAAATTCACAAGTCATTTTACCACAAGTGATCAAGTTTAAAATTTGTCTATGTTGAATGTTTTCTTTTTTCCTAATTTATTGTGTTTTTTTTGGCTTTTGTTTGAGAAGCAGGTAATGGAATAATGATTGGCCTCCTCCAGGTTTATTTGTATGTGGTACCACCCTGCCCAAGTAAATTTGCTTCTTCTGTGATTTGGCTTCCCTTCTGTTGCAGGGAGTGGAAAGCCTCATTTGGTAAAATCACTTTGTGGTAAATATTACATTTAACAGCTCTGGATTCCATTACCAAGCTTGCCAAATAGTAAATCTGCAGAGTGATTTTAGAGAACCGGGGGATATTGAAAGCACACTAGTGCTCTCTTTTCTTGTCTTCCTCCAGCTGCCTCCTGTAGCTTTCTTATTAGTCAGTCATTTGGTGAGGAAGTGGGCTGAGTTTTGAACATTTCTGTTGTCTTTTGGCTCCTGTAGATAAACTGGAGAAGAGCATTCTCATCTCTTCCCCACACCTCGTAGAGGGCTCTCGGTTGTGTAGTCTGAGTGCCTCTTACTTTGTCTGGACCCCTGATTTTTTAAGTTGCTTTAGAGGAAGCTAAGTGGCATGTTTTTGCCCATAATGTTGAACATATGCTATTTTGATAATGTTACCCTTAGAGTAAATTTAGAGGGATTCTCAGAAATAAAATGTCCCAAGTTTCATTTCCCGTTTTGCCTCCTAGATGAAATTCTCCTTATTTATAATAGTTGGTATGTCATCTGGTGCCTAGAGGAAGGAACAGATTTAACTTCGATTATTTCAAGATCCTTGATGTACTATCTTAAAATATCATCTTCCCTTTTGTTTTCAGGCAGTGTCCAGTCTGATAGCAGTGGGTACATCTCATGGACTGGCTTTAATATTTGGTAAATTTTCTAAATACTTTCTTACTTTTAAGTATTCAGTATCCTATTGGATTTTATAATGTCCTTTAATCACAGTTTATATAGTATACTTTATTTTCTTGAATAAAACCAGAAAAACTTGAAAAGGAGCGGTTCATATTTTTATAGCTAAAAATTATTCGACTCATACTAAACAACCACAGTTTTATTAATCCTTCTTTGCTTTTACATTCAATATTTGAGCAGAATATTTTGTTCTTTCTTATTTAAAAACTTTTAGATAATATTTGTCTGCCATTTTTAGCGTTCTGGGCATTAAGTTTTTTCATCTCTCTTAAATAGAATTCCCGATGACACTATACTTACTAATAAGGAATCTACAGAATGTTTTATAAGGATTACTTGAGAATGCTTTAATAGCAGAACCACAGTTTGATCCCTGTGGCTTTGCATCTTTATTTATCATATGAGTGGATAACTAGTTATTTTCTATTGTTTTTGAACAATTCAACTTCTTGTTTACAAATTTTCTATTATGCCAAAAGCTTTATTTAACATGTAATTGTAACACCTAGTCTTTTCAAAGGGGATTGATTTAAATGATAGAATGTTATTGTTTGGGAACCAGAAAATAGAAACAAAATTAAAATTACCTTAAAAGAATTTTAGAATTGATTCTTTAAAAAATACTTTTTTTTTTTACTGTGTAACTGATACATATACATAATAGAAAATTTAGAAAATATAGATGGACAAAAAGTTAGATATAAAATACCAAATTTTACCATCCGGAAACAATCCCTAACATTTCTGTATAACCTTCTAGTCTTTTTTTCTGTACTTGTATATATGTATGTATACATTCCTCAAGTGGGATCATGTTAATTTGTAACCTACTTTCCATTATAATGAACATTTTTCCATGCAATTATATATTTGTCTGTAACATTTTTAATGACTACATATTATTCTGTTAAATAGATTCTTCCTAATTTACTTAGCCATTTCCTGCTATAAGATGTTTAGGTTTTTAATAAACAGGAATGTAATGAACATTTTGTCACACATTTTTGTGCATGTGATTACTTTCTTAGGACAAATTCATAAAAGTGGAATTGCTTGGGGTCAGGATATGAACATTAGGGACTTTTAATGTATTGTCTAGTTGCCCTCTAGAAAAGTTTTACTAGCTCAGCTCTCCTATCACGTGTAAGAAAGGGCTGTTTTCCTATGGGGGCATGATTGATAACTAGATAAATAGAATTTTGGGAAAGAATCTTACAGGATCTTTTAGTTCAGTCCCCTTATTTTACATGAGGTGACTGAGGACCAAAGAAGTTAAGTGACATGCAGAGAGCCAAGTTCATAATCAAGGAAAACCAAATCCTAGATCAGTGCATTTCCACTATTCCAAGCAATCCTCCTGTCCTGAGAGAAAAGGAGGCAAAAGATATGAAGAAAAGAATTGAAGAACTAAGGTGATTGAGGATAGAATATAATGTAGATCTTTATCTGTCAGCAGAATACATGTTGATCTTTTGTTCCCATTTACCAGTACTCACTTTTCCTCGACTTGTCTGTTTGAACATCCCTTTCTTATCAAGAGGTTATACAAATATGTAATTGCTTTTAATCAAACTCATGTAGGGCTTACTGCAAACAAATTAAAATGAATACTTTAAAAACTAACAGAGGAAAAGAGTACATTATCTTTTGATACTGTCTTTTTAATTTCCTTGGGCCTGCTTCCTGATTTTTTTAGACCCCAGCATCTTTCTTACAGATAGGAGGACATAGCAATCTTTCATCACAGTCTCATGGAAAAGAAAGTATGCCAAAGTGAACATTTTGAGAAATAATTATAATATTCTCATTGTGCTTTGAGTTTTAACAGTGCAGCTAATAAATTTTGCTCATTATGTTTATAGGAATCAGATGTTTGGACAATGTGTTTTAACAAATGGATTAAAATTGCTTGAAAGCCAAGGAACAAATGACAGAGTAATAACACTATGAAGTATCTAGATCAGAGATCTGGGTTAGAGCTGATCTCTTTTATTTTTTTTTTTAATTTTTTTTGGTTTTTAAAAAAATTGTTATGGGTACATAATAGTTATATATCTTTATAGGGTACATATGATATTTTGATACAGGCATGCAATGTGAATTAATCAAATCAGGGTAATTGGGGAATCTGTCACCTCAGGCATTTAACCTTTCTTTGTGTTAGGAACATTCCAATTCCACTCTTTTAGTTATTTTACGGTATACTCTAACTTATTGTTGATTATAGTCACTTTGTTGTGCTAGCAAGTATTGTTCATACTATCTAACTATATTTTTGCACCCATGTGATCTCTTTTAAACATCTGTGTTGATCAGAGGAGAAAGTATAGCAAGAAGAACTATACTTGTTTAAGTACGATTAGATTCTCTTTGAAATAGAGGCCAAGGTCATTAAAATATAAATTATTGTGAGTTTCTTAAAGGTTGAAGTATATTGTGTATTCTTATGGAATTGTAGGTACATGGCATTTTTTGTGTGTCTTGGTTCTTACCTTATACAAAGTCTCAAAAGTTCAAATCTTAATAAAGATGTTTCTCTATCCCAAGACCCTTAGTTTTCATTTTTTTGGTTGTTAGTGTATTTTAGTAGCTTATCTTTTAGAAATTATTTTTGTTTCCACATAACTTAAACATGGATTTACTTACTGTGCTATAATTTGAATATTATGCATTTTTCCTTTTCCCGTAACCCATACCTGAATATAATCACGAATGAATGTAATCATGTCTTTAGACATCACTTAATCAAATTTAGTCTCATTCCCACAGATAACTAAAGCTTGTCATTTATACTCTTGAAATTTTACCTGCCTTTTTTTCAGAACTTTTGTATTGATTTCTTGCTTTTCTCTCTCTTTTAATCTTTTCTTCGTGGATTCAAAAGGAAAAGGTATAGTAACTTTGGTTTGCATGAGAGGTTTTTTATCTTTTGACCTTTTTAATGTTGAAAGAGAATGCTATCAATTATAGTTGATGCCCTCATATGAAATGCTTATTGAAAAAACTACAGCTAATTAATGCAAGAAATTGTGAAAAACTATAAATACATGCATATCTTCAATGTTTTATTTTAACTGAAAATATATAAATTTTAATTTTCCCCTAATCTTTTGATACAGTCCCAAACCTTTTCTTTTGAGTTTGTATCTGCTGATTGGAGGTTTGCAGTATTTTGGGGGCATAAACTTCATCAATAATGGGCCATGTAAAATTTGCAATTTTAATTTTTAAAAATGAGGTAAAAGCTTAGGTACCTGTGAATCAATCAGAGTACAAAATTCTAGATTTTAACAAAACTTCCTTTCAATCTTTTACCCTTGTCAATATCTTTGTGACGGTTTCGTAAAGCAAGTCATCTTTACCAAGTTTTTCTAAATCATCCATTTAGTGTTCATAGAAACAACAGCTCTTTCTTTTTCACTCTTGTTTCATCACTTCGTGTACTTTTTAATTAAGTTTTTGAAGTACAGTGACATTACAATGACATGAGCAGGTTTAGGAATGAATGCAACTGACTCCTTAGTAAGCATCAATATTCTAGAACAGCAGTCCCCAACCTTTTTGGCACCAGGGACTGGTTTCATGGAAGACAGTTTTTTCATGGACCAGGAGGGTGGGGAGAGGATGGTTTTGGGATGATTCAAGTACATTGCATTTATTGTGCACTTTATTTCTATTATTATTACATTGTAATATATAATGAAATAATTATGCAACTCACCACAATGCAGAATGTGAGAGTCCTGAGCTTATTTCCCTGCAACTAGATGGTCCCATCTGGGGGTGATGGGACACAGTGACTGATCTGACAGGAGGCAGAGCTTAGGCGGTGATGCCAGTGAAGGGGAGCGATGGGAAGCCATGGAGATTGGCTGTAAATACAGATGAAGCTTCGCTTTCTCACCTACCACTAACCTGCTGTGCGGCCCGGTTCCTAACAGGCCAACTGGTACCCATCTGTGGCCAGGAGTTGGGGATGCAGTTCTAGAAGACAGACAGTTATGGGGATTCTGTGTGCCCTGTTCTTCAGTCAAGAAGCTTTACAGAGGGAAGGAGAACTTTAATTCTCTGAGTTGGTTAGATGGAGGTCAGGTAAAACTGCTTCTCCTATTTTGTGATCATTGATGAAAATGTTTCCTAATAAGATCTCCTTTCCTTTTCTCCCTTAGTCCTAGAGAATATTTTAGTGTGAATAAAGGGTAGGAAAAGAATAGCATTGGAGTATGGTGAATATTGGCAAAGTAGAGTTCTACGTACATAATTAAATTTTATTCCTTCTAGAATGTAGGTATTTCCTTCTTTGATGATCTTTGGGAACTAATTACAACAAATTAGGGGTGAAGAAATAGAAGATCAGGCTAATTTTGGTATGTGGAAAAAGAAATTCTTGAATTATGTTCAAATTTAGATTTTTAGGACTATTATAGACTTTCTATGTTATTTGTGGCTTTTCTTTGCTATTCAGCACATATATTATTCTTAAGCTCAGGATATGCTGAGGAGATTTACCCTAACCAAGTGTACTTTTGAAAGGTATACTAATAAAAGATACAGGTATAATTCAGTGTGGTGTCAAATAGATGTGCTTTATGATTTGAGCTTCAAGTTCTCTTAAATAATTGGTAAGCTATATAATTGTCATTAATAATTCCTTACATTTGTAACATTTGATATTTTTCAAATTTTTCATAGACATTTTGTTATTAAGCTGTATGTCAACTCGGTAAAGTTTTTAAGAAAAGTGATAGTCTCATTTTCATATTTCTTGCCCAGGATCACCTTCATAAAGACCTACTCCCATTTTTTTTTTAATGCTAAGTAGACAGTGCCAACTAAATGTAATTTTATGTGACTTTGTAAATGAAATTACATGTACTATTAATTTAATACCTTTTCCCCAATAATAGACAAAGGAGACTTCAGAGAGTAGAAGGAGAATAGAATTTTTCCCTTTAAATTAATGAGATCAAGAGCAGCCTGGAGAGAGCTTCGATTTTTACCCTTCTTGCTTCTGTCCAGGTCCTTTTGTTCTTTCTATGTAAGTATAGAATTTAAGTGTTTTAAAGAGGTTTTATGTTTATTTTGGCCAAATACCTTTTCCCAGAATTGTCCAGAATTGTCTGGACTACAGAATATTCAGTTACTGTATTAGGAGAAACCTCTCCAATAAAACTGTTTTCTTCTTTCCACAGAAATTCTGCCTTTTCTGAATTTAGTTTAAATTATGTAATAGCAAGTTTGTTAATATGGTACCATAAAGATAGAATGTATAAAGATAGCAGTAACAGTTGATAAATATCTTTGTGGAGTCAAAGTAGGTTACATTTGATAGGCTGTCTTTTTTTGCTTCTCTCACCATCATCTTCTAGGTTTTTTTTTTAATGTGTGTGTGCATATCATCTGTAAATTAGTTTGTGATGAAAACCTACTAATATTTGAAGGACATTGAATTAGTTCCTTTGTGCATTATCTTACTTTACTAATTTATTACTCTTAGCAACACAGTGAGGTGATGATTGTTTTCTACATTTTACAGATGAAGATAGGGAGGTCAAGCAGATTTATTACCCAGACATACACTGTGGTTGCAATGCCTATAACTCTCTAGAATTAGGGGTAGGATTAAAATCCAGATGTCTGGTTTCATAGCCATGCTACCTTTTAAAGGGACATTATAAAGATAAAAAATACATTGTAAAAATCAAGAAAAAAATTGAGAATATTTTCATTAACACAGACCTGTGGGATGTAAATGTAATACATATTTCAGAAATGACCAAGGTTAATAATTTAGTTCCCTGTCTTAGCTAGTTTTTAATATGTGGGAACCGTAGTTAGGAAAGCAGTTATGTTTGGTTTTGAATCTAGAAGTTAGATATGCCCTTTTTCTTCCCTCATTTCATCCATTGCTGCTGTTTTCTGTTTCCTCTTTCTTAATGGCACCCTTATTTTATCATACTTCCCACTTCTCCTGCTCACGCTTACTGTGCCTTATAAGAATACTTAAATTGTCTAATTAAAGCATGAATTTTGCTAAATTGGAATGCAGTAGTGAGTATCTTTAAGTATCGGTGAATCAAAACTCTAGGAAGTTTGGATCTCAAAGCAAGGACTATAAAGGATCTCAGCAGCATGCTATCTAGACACCTCTCTGTTCCTGGAAGGCTGGTAGTCCAAACTCGAGGGGCTTCTTTGTGAGGCTGGTGTGAAATTTCATACCAACCTCTTTGTCCTCTTTCATTTCGCCTGTTGCCTACACGTGTGGCCCAAAGCAGTGGTATACATAGAATACTGCTGCCTAACCATCATATCATGACGGTTTGGAAATTAAAGTACCTGGATAATTCACTAACTGTATAAGGAGGCCCTAACAAAATAAGGATCATGGAAAGCACTATTTCAGGCAGGCATTTTCAGTTGAGTGAAATAAAATGTGCTGTCATATTTATAGTCAAGAAAATTATAGAATAAAGAGAAGTTTTAATAATTTAGATAAAATTGAGGGAGGGAGGAAAAATGAGGGAGGAGGCCAGTCTAGATATATGGAAAAATATCTGTAATTATATAATTCTAGATGTGAATGAAGATAATGATTTTCAAGATAACTAGATTTGTATATTTATGATTTTTATTCCTTTTCGAATGTTCACCTTGGAAGGTGAAAATACAAAATGATTTTTTTAAAAAATAGAGTATTTTTTGTGTGCCAGATACAGTACAGTCATTAATTGTTTCAGAACGCTTTCTTGGGGATTCCTATTAAACCAGTTTATGAACACAGAAAAATACTCTGACAGTATTCACTTTGGATGGACAAAAGGACTGACTTAATATTATTCCCTAGACCTGAGAATGAATGTCTTTAGACTCTTTCTGATAACTAGATTTACTTAAAGAAGAGAGGTTTGCAAATGTGAAAGCTGTTAAGATGATTGTCAGATGCCTTCTGAATGCAAGGAACCAAGCGAGGTATTCTAGGAGTGTTAATTCACTCATCATCTTATCGCTCAGAGAGGGGTACCAAAACTTGCATGTAGATGCAAAACTTGCATGTAAATAGTTAAGGGAGGCACAAACAAGTGCTAGGGGAGTTGAGAATATTCCAGGTTGTAGAAGTATGGTGTTTTGTTTTCTTTTTTCTAAATAGTTATACTTTGTAGCCATGCCTTCTTACATTTAAATTTTTATCTCATTGTTTTTAAGTGGATACAATAATGAACTTGATACAAAATAAGTATTGTCTAGGAGAAGCCCTAGAGGAATTTCTTTTAATTATTAGATAATAAAATTTAATAAATGTTTGAGTACCTCTTGGAGAAATCAGAGGTCATTAAGGCAAGATCCTTGCCCTTAAAGAACTTAATCTAATAGGGATTTGAATTACTTGCTTTTAGCTTATCAAATGTTGATGCTTGAAATACTTTTCTGAAGTAGTTTAAATGTTTACTCTGTAATTTTTTTTGCACTGTTAATTTGCTTAGTAAACCTTTTCTTCATGGATAATATAAATGTAAATTTCAGCTAAATTCTAAATTAATACATTTTGATTTTTGAAGTTTTAAAGTTATTTTAAAAGAAGATGATATTCCCTGTAACTTTGCATCTTGAAAACAGCAATAAATACAATTCTAGGCTGAGACAGATGAAAAATAGTTGGTTTGTTCAAGAAGTTACAGATTTCTTATAGGTTTTTTGGCTTATCATTAGCAAGTTCTGTATTATACTTCCTTGTAAATCTTGTTTGTTTTTTTTTCTGTATCTTAGTGTCTAATCCAATGCCCAGCATCTATTATATGTTTAATAAGTATTCTTAAAAATGAATGTGACTTCATCTGCTACTTTTGATTCTTGCCACCTACCAAGTCTTTGAAAACATGCCTTTACTGTATATAATTATTCACTTCCATTTCTTTCCCTTGACTTTACAAACTGCTTTAGATCAGAATCAAGCTTTGCGACTCTGTCTGGGGAGCACTAGTGTTGGAGGTCAGTATGGAGCCATCTCTGCCCTCAGTATCAACAATGACTGCTCAAGACTCCTTTGTGGCTTCGCTAAAGGTCAGGTAAGATGTGAACTTTCTTTTATCCATGAGACAGTGTTAAAATCAATTTTTAAAAACTGTTCTCTTTAGATCAATATTTTGAAGACCAAAACATGTGTTATGAAGTGATACATCTGTGGAGCTAACCTGAGATTGCTCAATCTGACTTCTCTCTTGTTCAGATTTTTAAATAATTGTTATTGACTGACCCAGAGTCTGTAATTTTTTATATCCTAATTCCTGTGTCTATTTGAGTAAGTAGCTTTCATAATCCAACCAGGACATAATGTAAAATGTCCTTCCTTATGGAAAAGTAAGTAATTGTGGCTGCTTTTTAGATATACTATATTCTGCTTTCTGTATTCTTGTTGTGTTCTTGGAGAACTACTTTGTTGTTTCTTTCTTTCCACTTCTGAAACTGGCAATAGGTTATGGTTTTTCCCATCTTCTGATTTCTGCATCACTAGCTGGTTTGGCAGTAAGCCTTCCCTATAATTTTTACCAGTGCTAAATAGATTGACTTATTAGAGAAATTTCTTTTACCTCTCAGCATAAGAACAACATTTAAAATCTAAAAGGAAAAGTAGGTTGGGCAGGATGATGAGGGGTAGATGAGGATGGAATAAAGGCTTCGTGCTTTAATGGATCTGTACCCTTTAGGTATGTTTTAACTTTATAGTCCTTTGCCTGTAATGTTTATAGACCAGGAATAGATTATTTCAGCCAGAAGACAGGATACTTAAGTCCAAAAAAATAGCAATAAATTTGTTTTTAAAGCACTTAGTTGTCTTATAGATCACCATGTGGGATTTGGCCAGTGGAAAACTTCTAAGATCAATAACAGATGCTCATCCTCCAGGAACAGCAATATTGCATATCAAGGTAATAGCTTTGTTTTCTTTTTCTAATAATTTCTATTATTATGCCTTTGTGTCTATTTTAAAGTAAATTTCTCTGTATTGATAATCAGAAGTCTAAAAAATGTATTTAACATGAAGCCGAACGCTACTTTATTAATAGAATTCTTAATCTTGAACTATCTTTTATTTGACTAGCCCCATGTGATGTTTTCCCAAATTAAAAAAAAGAGGTGGGCTAGTATGGAAATATTTAACTTCAAGTTGTGTTGAAGTCTAATAGATATAGCAGCAAAAAGGGCAAATTGATGTGGTCCTAGACTGGAGGTTGGCAGTAAAGACAAGCAGCACCCTGCTGAAACTCATATGGAGATTGTAAAAGGTCTTTTTACCTTGGTTTAGTCCGCCAAAATTTTATTGCTGAGGTAGTGTGCTCTGTCACCTTTTGTTGCAAGTTGCATGAGGTTCAAGGCACCAATTGTGAAAGAAGCAGCATTTGGATTATGTTTAGAAATGAATCTATTGGTTTATTTTCTTTCAGGCTTCTAAAGTGAAAAAATTAAGATCCTAGTCTTGGCTTTCTCCTTATAGGCCTGAAAAAATTAAACTGACTTAAGTAACAGATTTTATTTATAACTACAATGTGGACGTTGATTCTTGCATACTGTCAGGCCCATGTTCAGAAGCATAAAAGGTAAAGAATTGTAACTAGGGAAGTCTAAAATCAGATCTTCTGGATTTTAATCATGTACACATTTTGTTGCTTAGCTGTGCAGAGCTCTCTCATCCATACGTATGCTTTTTAAAGTCTGCAAGCATCTGGAGTTTAAATGTCTGTATATAGGTTAGTTACAGAAAAGTCTTTTGTGACAAAGCATCATTGAAGCATTTAGTAACAATGAAAACAATCAAGACAAGTAAAAGTGGAGAGAATTTCTCCTCTTTCAGAACATTATGGTAATTTACATTGTCCTCTTTTCATATAGCATATGCCAACTTCTATATAGTTGCTTATATACGTCTTCTCTCTCTTAATAGATTGAGATCTTTGAATCAGAATCTGTCAGTCATTTATTTTTGTGTTCTACCCATCGTAGCTGCTCAATAAATGTTTGATTAAAGGAATAACTAGTTGGTGTTGTTTATAAAAGGCCAATCCTTTAGCATAAAAAAATCCCAGAGTTAGTGGGAAAAACAATAAGAAACAAAAGAATATAAAGACAGAGAAAAAAATGCAGCTGAGATTAAAAGCATAGTAGTAGGAACCATTGTGCTGCTTGGGAATGGTGATGAAGGTGGTGCATGCAGACACTGACATTAGAGAAAGAATATGATTGAATACTTCTGAAATCTTGGATTGACAACAGCCAGTTGTTAATTGTTTTCCAAACTTAACTCTGTATCCCATCAATGACAATTTGGGATTGCATCCTTTATAGAGGTGTGTGTGTGCACGTGTATAATTCTATAAATGTACTACTATACTAATTTTTATGTACATTATAAAGCAAATACATAAGAAATAGAAAATTAAACAGAAATATGAATTCTATTATTTTTTCTACACTCCTACACTCTCATGCACACCCCTAGGTTACAGGCTTCCCACTTTGGCAACTGCTCACCTAGGCTTTGGGAGCAAAAGTGTCAGACTTCTTTACTATACCCACATGTGGGCTGAGGAAGAATAATTTTACAGGGGCCTCCTGTACCTCAGCCGTCCCTGAGTGAAAGCATGAGGCATACCATTTCGGATGGTTCATCAGCCTTTGGGCTGAGGGAGGCTAGTCATTGTAAATGATGCAAGTTCATTATTCCGTTTTGTGTCGTGCAGCATATGACCTTGGGACTGTCTTTGTGAATATTATTTATTTATTATTCTGAGTTTCCAGGTTAAGTAGTAATAACTGAAGTAAATTCTTGGAAAAAGGTCAAGGAGGTAGCACTTTTTCGGAAGAGTTACATAAAAAGTTTAAAATGTTTTTAATATAGTGAATTAGCTCTTTAGTTATTCAGAAAGCATAGTCAGACAAGTTTATTTCCCAAAGATAACCAAGTATCTTTTACTGAGTCTTTATTCTTGAAAACTAGACAACTGCAAATGTACCCAAAGGATCCTATTCATTTAATAGTAAGTTAGAAAAAGTTAATGTGAGAACACTGGGTTTTTTTTAATCAATCATAGTTTGTATTTTTCTTTTATTCTGATGAAAGGTGGTTTTGCTTTTTGAAAGCCCTAGTTTTTGTAACGATAGCGAACCATTTTTATTCTAAATCAAGGTAAGTTTGTATGTTTAGAGTGATGAGCTGAATCTAGTTTAGGTGATTTCAAATGCTATTAAGTGTATATATTATAGATTTTCAATATTCTCTGATTTTTCCCTCTTCTTAATACTTAACTAGATATTTAAATATCTACAAGAAATAAATTCTTTCTCTGTTTAGTTTACAGATGATCCAACTCTCGCAATTTGCAACGACAGCGGAGGCTCTGTTTTTGAATTGACATTTAAGTAAGAGACCAATGGACATTTGTTGACAAATGAAAAGACTAGCTCTGGTTTCATGATTTGAAATTGAACATGAAGAGGTCTTGAAAGCCCGTGTGATTGAGAATACATTATGGCTGTGTATTACAATTACCTGGGCAGACTTGTAGAACATATGGGGTTCTGGGCCAGGTCTTCCAAAATTTTATCTCAGTAGGTCTTATTTGCTGTCAAGCTTGGTAACCAGTATTCTGAGCTACTCTGCTGTGTAGTAGCTCAGTAATTTTGGTTTAGGTTCAAGGCCTAGTTGATTATAATTGTAATGTACAGCTGTAAAAAGGTTTTTATTGCCTGAGAATGGCCTTGTTTGCTCTTTAAATAAGAACAAAGACTGTCTAGATACATAGAAGAACATTTATGAAGCTGAGTTTTTTAAAAAAGTAGAACATAATATTCATTGTATGTTTCCATAAATTCTTCAAGTTTAATAGCAGTGCTATCTTTGTTTCTTATATTTCTCATAGCTTCTAACAACATTGAGCAAAAAGTAATTTCTGAAAAGGTACTATTCATTATTCAGCTAATGTTTCTTGGGCATCTCCTATATGTAGGCCTTTCTAGACACCGGAGTTATAGCCGTGAACCAGGCAAGGTTCCTAGTCTAATAGAATTTGTTTTCTAGTTGTGGCGAGGGTAAGGAGACCAATAGCAAGCCAGCACATAAATGAAATAACATCAGATAGGTATGAGTACTGTGACGACACAAAGAAGACAGGTCATTGTGCTAGAGAGCATTTGGGAATAATTCAAGAATGCCTTTCTCAGAAGGGGTGACGTTTGAAAAAAGACCTGAATGATGAGCCAGTCAACAAGTGCAAAGATCTGGAGGAAGTGTTCCAGGCAGAGGCACATTTGAACACAAAGGCTTTGAGGTGGGCACAAACTGGGCCTGCTGGAGCAATGGAAAGAAGGCAGGTGTGACTGGAGCATGACTTTGTCAAATACACTGTAGTGGGAGAGGAATGAAGGCAGGAGCCAGAGCATAGCCTTTTAAGACATGGCCAAAGAGTTGAGATTTTATTTTATGTATGATGGCAAGCCAGTGGACCGTTTTTAGTGGAAGAGTGATTGATCTGACCTGTGTAATAAAAAGATCATGCAGCTGTTTTGTGGAGCTTGGATTGTTGGGGGTAAAAGGAGGAGTTAGGAGGCTATTAAAGTAGTCTAAGTTAAGGATGATAGTGACTTGAATCATTGCTAAATTGATTGTGAATTTTTGGATTGCATTTTCAGGAGAGTGATGGGAGTGAGAACATGTGAATCTAGATGTCTCTTCAGTGGTTCCAAGGGTGAAGTTTGCTGTATTGAGCCTCTGCATTCTAAGCCTGAATTGAAAGATCATCCCATCACACAGTTTTCATTATTGGCCATGGCTTCCTTAACAAAGGTAGGTATATTTAGATGGTGAAACTCGTGACTTTCAGAGGCTTTGAATACAAAAAATTTGAAAATTTCGAGGCAAATATTGAACATAAATTATATTTCTCTCCTAAGATACTGGTCATTGGATTGAAACCATCGTTGAAAGTATGGATGACTTTTCCCTATGGTCGGGTGAGTAAACCTCTCCATCTTATTGGGAAAAGGAGGGACCATGTCAGGAGGTTGAGGGAAATGATTTGCAAGGGCAAATTCTGTGAAATTGTCAAAAAACTAGGTAGAATGAAAGTCAGTGCTCCAAAGATCATTGTCTGGACTTGCTTTAAGGTGACCAAAGCAGCATAAGCTGGTGACTAAACAATGTCCTGGGGATCATGAAATTTTGTACTTTTCTATTTTTATCATTTTAAGTTTTTCTATCATAAACAGCATATAACTGGTTTTTGTTTTTAACCTCAATTTGACAGTGTCTGTGTATTGCTGCCCTGGCACTTTATGGTCACACCTAATTTCATGCATGGATTTTCCTGGCTTCATTCACTGCCCTTTGAGTGCAGTACAATTCCCTTATTGGATTTAAAGCTGGAGGCTAAGTTGATATAGTGAGTCTGAGCCCTGATTTTCAATGTTTGAAAGACATTTGTTTTTGTGTGACTGCCGCACTGGGACAGGATTATGCTTATTCTCTCCTGCTTTGATATGGAACTACTGATAGAGTGTACCCCACTGTGTACTGATAGAGTACACCCCAACATAAATGGCTACTATATATGCTTTCCTTGGCTTCTGCCTCTGATATTTTACTTTGGGGGATGATACTTCCCAGCATGTGTTATTATACCCCAGTTTCCCCCGCTCTTTCCTGCTTGGGTGTTTTCAGAAAGTTGTGATCTTCCAGTGTATATATGAGGAGAGGTATTGATGGGATGGGATGGTGAATGATGGTATAGGACTCTGGCTAGTTCAGAAAGCAGCCCCTATACTGAGCGAGATCACTCTTGTTTTCTTGTTGGTGCCCTGTGTATCTCTGGGCCCCACGGGAGAAGCAAGTCTGTCCTCTTAGATGGCAAAACTTGCTTAGATTGCCATTAACATTTCTTAGGTTAGCTCCATTGGCTAATTTAGGTTTATGTCATGGTGGTATGTGTTTGCTTCTTTTTATATGTTTTTATTGGTATTTTTTCTAATTCAAACAAGTAGACCGGTTGGAAGAATTTTACATTGAGCATTTGTATATCTACCATCTAAATTCTACTATTAACATTTTCCTATACCTTCTTTATTACATATCTGTCCATCTCTCCATCTCTCTACCCACTCATCCAACTACACTATTTTGTTATGTATTTCAAAGTAAATTACAGAAACCAGTACTCTTTCTCCTAAATATTCAGCATGCATATCATTAGCTAGAGTTTAATATTTGTTTAGTTTTTCCTTTGATGTAAAATTTACATATGAAATGTACAAATCTGGAGTGTACATTTTCTGCACTTTGACAAATGCATATACTTTCGTAACCCAAATCCCTATAAAGATATAGAACATTACCATCAACCCAGAGAGTTCCTCTGTGACACTTCCCAGTCAGTCTTGCTTCAATAGAATTTTTATGAGAACTTGGGAAAAGTTTTCTCAAAGAACTCTAGTCAGAGGCTGTTTTTAACCAGAGTTTTCTCTTTGTCCTCCTGTTTCTTAATCATGGTAAATTTTTTCTTGTTTTCCTCACTTAGATGGATCCTTCCAGTGTTCCATTGCTGGCCTGGCACTTTGTGGCAGTGCATAATTATGTGAATCCCATGCTTGCCTTCTGCAGAGGAGATGTCGTTCATTTTCTATTGGTAAGTTCCAGTATGCTAGGTCTGTTATAAGTCTCTCATAATTTTTTTCCCTGCTTCATTAGTAGTTTAATATTATATCAATAAAAAAAAAATTATCCAGGCATGGTGGCACATGCCTGTAGTGCCGTAGTTCCAGCTACCTGGGAGGCTGAATCAGGAGGATCACTTGAGCCCAGAAGTTCAAGGCTGTAGTAAGCTATGATCACCTCACTACACTCCAGCCAGGGTAATAGAGTGAGACCCTGTCTTTAAAAAAAAAAAAAAAATGTATTTTAATCCATAAGTCTTTGGAGAGAGAGTGACCTGTTTAATTTTTATTTAAGTTTTAATGGTTAACATGAAAAAAACCCCAGTTACCCTTAGCTCCATAACCATTCATAGTTTATTTCTCAGTTTTGTCTGCTTTGACTGACAGATAATTAATGGTTTATGTGTATGTATAAACATATGAATGTGAATGTGTATGTATTGGTTTACCTATCTACATAGATAACATGCATATTTATTAGATAGAGAGCAAGTATAATTGAGAACCTACTGTTCTCTGCACTGTGATGGGCACAAGAAGCAATTAGGGAAGGTGTACGCATGGCTTATAATATTGTTTGAAAAGCAAAACCAGTACATTTATTGCTACCAGAGAGAATAGTTTAAGGATTGAACCATGTGATGAGAATTGAAAGTTGATATAAATTCAGAGTATGAAGAAATTAGTATGGACTAGAGAGGCCGTGGATAGATTTATAATGGATATACAGCCGATACTGAGAGAGGGAGTAGGCATATTGGGGGAAATGAGGTGAACTGAAGTCACAGAGGTAAGAGTGTGCCTGTGTAATCTCTTTGCGGGTTTCCTAGCTCAGTGAAGTGAGTGCACTGCTGTCTACCTAGCTTCTCCAGCCAGAAACCTAGGAGTTGCCTTTTATTAATAGTACCTTTTTCCCTTCATATGTGTTTTATCACCAAGTTCTGTTGACTCTACCTCGAAAATCTCTTGACCACCTCCCTTTTTGTCTCCTCCATGGCTGTTTCTCTAGTCTAAACCACGTATGTTTCTAGCCGGGACTCTGCAGTAACTTTCTAACTAGTCTCTGGCCTCAGTGCTTTACATATGCTATTGTGCCTACCAAAACAGCTCTCTGCTCTTTTCCACTGTGTCCTAGCTCATGATTAAAATCGCCTTACCTGATCTCCTGAACCAAGTCAGTGCCTCCTGCCACATACACGAAGGCCTGTAAGACCTTTCTCCTTTGATAACATTCAGCACTTTTTAAGTTAGTCATCTAGTATTTTTTTTCCTCAGTAGACAAGAAGTCTACAGACCAACTCTACTGTTATATTTCTAGCCACTAGAGCAGTGCTTGTATATAGTAGAGGCTTTAACAAATGTCTATAGAATTAATAATAGGGGGAAACCTATGGTGGAAAATAAAATTGAGTATTTGGGGTGGATCTAGGTTAGGGGTTGAAAAACTATGGCCCATGGGCCAAATCTGGCCAGCCATCTGTTTCTGTAAATAAGTCTTATTGGAACACAGTCATGCCCATTTGCTTATATATTATTTATGGTTGCTTTTTCATTACAGTGGTAGAGTTGAGTAGGTGTGACAGAGACTGTATGGTCTGCAGAGCCTAAAATGTTTACTGTGTGGCACTTTTCAGAAAAATTTGCTAACCCTTGATCTAGGTTATATAATGATTGGCCTGAATTGGTAATGGGGAGCCATCATAGGTACTAAAGATGAGATTAAAGTGATATTTTAGGAAGATCAGTCTAAAACTATAAAAAGAATAGATTATAGAAGGTAAGGGAGAAATTGAAGGTTTTTCTCTTGTAATACAGCAGGTAAGAGGTGTTTAGACAAGGTTGGTTGGTTGCAGTGAGAGTTAAGGGATGATACTTTGAAAGACAAGGCTTCTCATCATATTGTATCTAGGGACTGAAGGACATGAACAAAACATTTCTGAATTTGCATATTAGAATCAAGAAATATTCAAAGGAATATTATTTGGGGAGAAGTTGATTATGGAAGATTTCAGTGTGTTGAGTTGGAAGTGAAGGTGGGACTCTCAAGTGTGGTATCAGGGGATGTCCGACAAGAGGATAGCAATCCAGGTCTGGAGTGCAAATGAGAATTCCAGGATAGAGAATGTAGTTGAACCTCTGAAATCAAAAGCTAGAGCATATATGACCTTGGTGGGCAGTCATGCAAGGGAGAGGAAAAAAAGCAAAGCAGGAAAGGAGATTGCTACAAATACACATAGGTAGAAGAGGAAATTGGACAGTATGGTGTCACACAGAGGACAAAGAAGGAAGGCTTCTGGGACAATATCAATTTTGGGGTAATGCCAATGTAAGATCAAGAAAGATAAGGACCACTGAACATATCAAGAAGTGTTTCATTAGAAACTTTTCAGAGCACTGATTGTCAGTATACTGGAGATAGAAGCTAGATTGTAGAGCATTGTTAAGGGTATTCTGATGAGCAAACTCATACAATCATAGTGTTTGGTTGTGAGAGAGAGTGTGGTTAAATATTATCTTTTAAAAGTAAATCAAGGAAAGAGTTTTTAAAATTTTTTTTTATTTGAAAGTGGAGAAGAGAAAAACATGTTTGAGAGCAAAAGGAAAAGGGCACTTAGAAAGGAGTGATTAAATATGCTATCAAGAAAGGGGTAACATTAAACAGTCGATGGCGAGGAGTAGGATCTAGAGTATACAGTCATGCACTGCATAACAACATTTTGGTCAATGATGGACCACGTATACCACAGTGTTCTTATAAGATTATAATACCTTATTTTTATTGTACCTTTTCTATGTTTAGACATGTTTAGATACACAAATACTTACCATTGTGTTACAGTTGCCTACAGTATTCAGTACAATGGCATGCGTACAGGTGTATAGCCTAGGAGCAATAGACTATCATATTAGCTATGTAGTAGGCTTTACCATCTAGGTTTGTGTAAGCACATTCTATGATGTTTGCACAATGACAAAATCGCTAAGGACACAGTTCTCAGAATGTGTCTCCATTGTTAAGTGATGCGTAACTGTATATAGGTGAAGCGATTTTTTTTTTTTTTTTAGAAAGGACTTAGAAAATCTTAGAGGAATAGGTAATGTTGTCATTGATCTTTTCAGTTTGTGAAATACTATTTCAACATATGCAACGTATAGGACAATTTGGTACTATCTTATTTTCATTTTATAGATGAAGAAACTGAGAAAGAATAAGTGATTGCCCTTGTTCACACAGCTATAATAGTGAAACTTAAACGTGTAGCTCTAGATGCCATGATCATTTTACCAGAGCATCCTTTCTTATGGGGGAAGCAATTTAGTGAAGATAGGACTACATGAAGGGCCCTCATTAAATGATCCCACTTTTTTGATAAGGTATCAGGTAACATCAGCACTATAAGTGATGGGATTAGAAGGCAAAGAGGAATTGGGACTTAAAGGGAAAGGCATCTAGACCACTACCATAGAGAGTATGCAAGAAAACCCAGGTTGAATCGAATGTCATGAATTTTAGGTGATCAGGTGTATCTTGTACTTTATCTTTCTTCAGTGTTCTATTACCTTGGTGCAGAAGTGGAGAAAGCAAATTATAAGGATGATCGAGGTTTATAGAGTATATGTGTATAAATATATAAATAAAATATTGACATGAAGTTCTTTTGGGAAATTTTGGGCTGTTTGAGCTACAGTGGTATAGTTCAGAAAAATCTAGTTTTGTCAATGTAGTGTCTTTTCTTTAATGAACTTGGACTTCATCATACCATGTCACCAATCCCATTTTATACTTTCACTCTAGCTAAATGTAGTCATTGATGTGATAAAGTTAGTTTTTTCTGAATTATGAAAGAGTTAAAATTGTATTAATACTGACAACTAGACCACTAGCCAGATAACGCCTTGGATTTTGGTACAAATTATGGAGTGAATGATTTTTTTTTTTTTCATTTGTATAATAGTTTCTTTAATTACCAATACTTTTGGCTTGCCATACTGAATGAGAATTATGCTCTGCTCTAGGTGGAGTATAATTAAGTAACTTAAAAAGTCACTCAAACAATAAACAATATTTAGATTGTTTTTATTTCATCATCAGGTTAAGAGAGATGAATCTGGAGCAATACATGTTACAAAGCAAAAGCACCTTCACCTGTACTATGACCTCATCAACTTTACTGTGAGTATTATTCAAATTAAATATCCCCCTTTATTTTATGTAATTGTTCTGAATTCAGGGTGTATTAAATCTACCAGGATTATTTTTATTGTACCTTTTCTATGTGTAGATATGTTTAGATACACAAATACTTACGATTGTGTTACAGTTAGTTGCCTACAGTATTCAGTACTAGCATGCTGTACAGGTGTATGGCCTAGGAGCAATAGACTGTACCATATTCGGTATGTAGTAGGCTTACCATCTAGGTTTGTGTCATGAACCATGACCTTTAGGATCATATAAAATGTGGACAGAAGTGAAGTCCTGCTTGAATAAATCTGAATTTGGTGTAATGTGACATAATTACTGCCTTTCAGCCTTATGTCCTGCTGAACACTAGCAGGACCAGTAGTTTTCTTTAATGTCTTGATTGGCTCAAAAGAGAGTTTGGGTTGGAAAGAATTTAGATGGTTTTCTTCAGGATCATTGCCCTGCTTTCTCTATAAACACACTTTTATATTTCTGAGCTTGTCTTAATTGGTCCTTTGGTCTTGTTTGTGTAACCTCTTCTTTTCTTGTGGCTAAAAACTTTGCAGAGTTCTCTCTATACTGTGCATCTCAGGCCTGAGAAACTTCTTGTTTTTTAAAAAAAAGATTTCTTTTTGTATCAAGTTTTATTATCTCTTTTCCAAATAGTGTGCTAATTTTGAGAGTAGTATAATTATATTTCTAGGCTTCTGTCATTAATGCTTTTAGAACATCAATATCTGTGAGACATTCTATATATGCATGAACATAGGCAACTCTAAATATAAGGCTGTTAACTAAAAAAAAAATTAACAAGGCTTATACTTTGGAAAAAGGAGAGCTGTATTTCTCATGAAGGGTAGCAACCTGTTGGGTGCCCATTCCAGCAGATTGGGAAGCAGAGACTGGCCCAGAAGCCAGACACACGTGCTTCAAAGGAGAGACAAAAGGGAACAGGATTTTATACTGAGCAGGGTAGTCAAATATACATATTTAGCAAACTATAGGAGGAGTCATGAATATTTATGAAGGGAAATCAGACACATGTAATTGTGCTTCCTCTCTCCCATCCCATCGCGGCTGGGGACTCAGTTTTAAGCTGTTTGTAGGGTCTCTTTGGCTGAAGGGGTCTATTCAGTTAGTAGAGGGCTTAGGTTTAGGATTTTATTTTTATTTCACAGGCCATCCCTCATTTTTCCAGTAAAAAGACTAAAACTGTTTTTTCTCTAACTTGATAATATATAATTTTTCAGGATATTACTGAAATAGTCAGATCTTTTCTTTATAATACATGATTTGCTAATTTAGTTGCACATTGCATTTTAAACTCACATATAGACTGACTACTGTTTTAGAAATAATGATTTTTTCCATGCACATTTCATGAAGTAATTTTGTTCAGACGCTTATAAGACATCAGTGTCTTTGTCATCACCAGAACCCCTTGTTAAATCATCTAACACATCATTATCACTTCTGTTTGAGATGTTTGAGATACAGTACTTTTAAAATCTGCATTTGAGTATGTCACTGGAACATTTTTCCCCAACCACAAGTAGCCATTCTCCTAACAGTAGGACAGTTGGTGTTTTCATTTGTCCTGTGACATATCCATGATGTGACCGTTAATTGCATTGTTTTATAAATTACCTTTAAAAGGCTTGTTTACAATAATGTCAGCACTTGGCAATTGTGAGGGTCTAATCTCAGGAATAATTACTAAACTCATTAAGGTTCCTTGTCTCTCATTCTCTCTCTTTCTTTTAGCCAGGTGACTGAAAAACCAGCACTGATTATGGTGGAGAAGGCTAAATTAATGTGTCTTTCCTAAATTTTGTTTTTCTAAGTAATCAAGAGAGGACCTTGTAAGAACTCTTTGTAAAAGATTTGCACATCAAACTCCCTGTTTTCTGAGCAGTATTTTGGAAGGTGGGGGAAACAAACCCCTCCCTTATAGTGGCCCTATACATTATTAATAGAGTATTATGTGTAGTATATGTTAAAAGAAAATCTGTCCACCAGTTTTGTCATCTTTGATATGGCATTATGCAAATCTCTGATAACATGGAATAGGCATATAAATAAACAGACATGAATATCAGAGAGAAAGTGCAGGGGAAGCACTTTGTTCTGGCTACTTTTGAATACTAATCGAGCAGATTTTAAGATTTGAAGATTTCATTTATTTCTTGGGGAAGGATTGAGCTTTCTAAAAAAAAATTTGAAAATAAGAAATCTGATTTTATACATAACCCAAGAAATTTGTCAAAATGACATCCTTGAGAAGATTTTTTAAACTATTAAGTTAGTGTTACTTAAAGTTTGGCATTTGTCCCCGAGACAGCATTAGAAGAACAGGACAAGTGGTTTGAGGAAAAGAAAAGAAAATTTTATTAATTTGCCAGCTTAAAGTACCACTGTCTTATCTATAAGCAGAAATATGGAGTTTTTAAAGGGAGTTTTCAGCTTCGGGCTACTGCTGTTTAACTGTAGCATCTCTGGTGAAGACAGTCTGTGAGCCATCTCCTGTGGTACAAAGAACAAAGGACACTCCCCTGGCCCTCTGATTACTGGCCTCAGTCAGGAATGCAGGTTTTAATTCCCAAAAAGTATGGGGGGTGGTTAGAAAGACAACTTGTAATACATTTTGCACTTTTTCAGGCCCTTACTTCTGTTACATTAGTACTTTTACAATTATAATAGCACTTATTAAAGAAAATTCAGAAGATGCAGAGAGATAGAAGGAGCAGAAAACTCTCTCATAATTTTTAGGGAGCTTTTAAGGAAATATACTTTTTAAGTAGCTCCTATTTTAAAATATGTATTGCTTCAATACTTTGACCAGCTAGGTTTATGAGGTTTAATTTTCCCTTTTTTTCATTAATATCATAAAAACTAGAAATGCAGTTTGTCACTATGCTAATGTCATTTGTGCCAATGTGCTTTTAAAAAATTTTTATAAAAACCAATATAGCCTAAAATCTGTCTATTACAGGGCTTAGTCTTCTTTTACACTATGTAAGTGTCATTTTAACACCGTCAAAACTCAGTAGTATCTTGTGTACCTACTGTTCTCTGGGCTGTCACTGAGTAGTTCTTGCTGTGATTGTGTTGCCATGTAAGTTATTTAGTGGATAAGGTCCTCAGTGTAATTTAACAGAGTGGCCAAGCTCTCTTCTTGTCTGGAATGATGATGTGGGTTGGGCCTCACTTTTATTTTGTTGTATGCTTGAATTGCAGTGGATAAACTCACGCACAATTGTGCTCTTAGACAGTGTAGAGAAGTTGCACGTGATTGATCGGCAAACTCAAGAGGAATTGGAAACAGTAGAAATCTCAGAAGTTCAGCTGGTCTATAACAGCAGCCATTTCAAATCACTAGCCACTGGAGGAAATGTTAGCCAGGCACTGGTAAGGGTAACCTGTTATCTTGATATATGCTTTGATAAACTTGATATCTTGTTGTGTGTTTTTTTGTTTTTTTTTTGGGGGGGGTTGTTTGTTTGTTTAGAAATAGGAATTCTGTGGAGTTATCTTTCTATTTTGAGGTTTTTCTTTAAAAGTAGGTTGAAGTAGTTGTGGATGTGTTTATAATTATTCAAGGGTGTAAGCTAAAGTGGTAATTCCTATTAATTTCTATTCAGAAATGTGTCTAATTTAACGTTAATACCAAAGAGTTTTAACTTTTATAGTAAAATAATGAAGTGAAATGAAAAATTTGTGAGAAAGAAATTATAAAATCAAAATATTTTACAAAGTTTAATCTGGTGGCAGTAAACCTGATAGATTTAAGGGATAAATAACTAGAGACATACAGCCTATGTAGTAATATTTGCATGATATGGTAAAGGCTTGAACAGATACATACTGTGGGCACTTACCGGCAAAGACAGCTTTGAGAGAAAGAAGATTCTTTAGGAATAGGTGAAATTCTATAGGATATATGAAATGTAGGAGCCTAGAGAGAAGGAAGACATAGCAAGAGTTCTGAACTTAAGTATTAATTTTATTGTATTATAAGAAACTACAATAATGGCCTTAAGCAATCTATACAGTTTATAGTTAAATATGAATTGTGATCTTGTTTCCTAAACCACTCATCTTTAAGTAGGAAATTTAGACTATTGTGAAACTTCCGTGAGTAATTTCTTGGAAAAAAAAATAGTAATGATGGTCATATTTAATGAGTGACTTGTCAAAGGAAAATATCCCAAACTCTGTAAAATAATTTAAAGAGGTTTATTCTGAACTGCATATATGTGACCATGGCCCAGAGAACAACACCCAAGAAGCCTTGAGCAAGTAAGTGGTCTTGCTGTGGTTGGGTTCAAGTTTTGTGTTTTGTTTTTTTTCTCAAGACAGAGTCTTGCTCTGTTGCCTGGGCTAGAGTACTGTGGTGTCAGGCTAGCTCACAGCAATCTGAAACTCCAGGGCTCAAGCAAGCCTTCTACTTCAGCGTCCCGAGTAGCTGGGACTACAGGCATGCACCACCATGCCCAGCTAATTTTTTTTTTATATATTTTTAGTTGTCCAGCTAATTTCTTTCTATTTTTAGTAGAGACAGGGTCTCACTCTTGCTCAGGCTGGTCTTGAACTCCTGACCTTGAGCGATCCTCCCACCTCGGCCTCCCAGAGTGCTAGGATTACAGGCGTGAGCCACCACGCCCAGCCTCCAGTTTTGTTTTATACATTTCGTGGGGATAAGAATTACGTGTAAAGTCATAAATCAATACATGGAAGGTGTACATTGGTCTGGCCCCAAAAGGCAGGACATCTCCAAGCAGGAAATTACAGTTTATAGGTGCATTTAAAGATTCTTTCATTTGTAATTGGTTAAAGAAATGAAGCTTTGTCTAAAGGCTTGAAATGTTAAGATAAGGAAATCTGTTAATCAGAGACAAGCCCTTGGACAGATACTCTGATGCAAGTGATCTGTTAAGTAAATTGATGACCTGCAGGTGTGGTTTAAGCTTTGTCTTGCGTAGCTTTAGGCCCGTTAATGAGTTACAAAGGATATCTCTAAAGAGGAAAGGGAGTATGAGGAGGCATGTCTGACCTTCCTTCTTATGGCCAATAACTCAGCTTTAGGGTATTTCTAGAGTCCCCATGGCCAGGAGGGGACCCATTCAGTTGGTTGGGGGGGCTTAAGATTTTATTTTAGTTCACAGACTACAGCATGATGTGTAAGCTCTGCTCAAATCTTCCTCATAGTCATAGTATAAAATATATATGAAAGGGTCTTCCAGCCCCCTTATTTTAAAAAAAGAATAAGAAATGGTAGTGCAATAGAATTCACTAAAGTAATGATAATTACTGTCCCATACTTAGATATTTCCTTGTGTTTGAGTGGTTATTAAAAATACTCTTAGGGCTGGACATGGTGGCTCATGCCTATAATCCTAGCACTTTGGGAGGCCTAGGAAGATCACCTGAGGCCAGGAATTTTGAGCACCATAATAAGACCCTGTCTCTACAACAAATAGAAAAATTAGCCTGGCATGGTGCACACCTGTAGTCCCATCTGCTTGGGAGGCTGAGGCAAGAGGATCATTTGAGCCCAAGAGTTGGAGGTTGCAGTGAGCTATGGTGACATCACTGTACTCTAGTCCGGTCAACCCTTCTCTCTCTCAAAAAATAATATCTTAAATTTTGAACTTGCACTTTCAGTCAAGATGGAATAATGGGGGATTGGATTTACTCTCCTGTCTGAAATAACTACCCCACCACTCCAAAAAAAAGTCAGGGGAAGGAAAGAAATAGCAGTTCTCAAGATATTGGACATCAATAAAGAAGGACAATAGTCTCCGACAAATTGGGGAACGAATGACCTGAGCTCTATGATTGTCCTCACTTCCAGCCTTGAGTTTCTGGGCTGTGGCTCAGGGAGGAGGAGCCCAGTTGGAGACTGGAGGACTCCTTAAGAAGAGAGAGCTAAGACTGCAGGAAGACAATGGTGGGAGGAGTTTGCAGGCAGAGTACTGGGAAGGAGAGCACTATCAAAGAGTCCCCCTTGAGTATGCACAGGCTACTGATGGGCAAATGCATGTAAGGAAGCTACCCAAGGATAGGGAAAGAGCCATTTGAAAGGTCTAGAGGGAATCATATTAAGTGCTCACACAGGGCTGAAAATAGTGCTTGTTACACCAGCTAGAATGAAAAGTAGTGGGGAAAGATGAGGGCTAGAGTAAATGTGCTGGTCCCCACTAACAAATCTTAAAAACAAGACCAGAAAGGATCAAACTGTTTTCAAGTCACTTAAGTATCTCCCAGATCAAAGCACAAGAATATTAATAGGAACACAGAACTTTATGCCAATAAATTCAACAACTTTAGATGAAATGGAAAAATTTCTTGAAAGACACATATTACCAAAGCTGACTCAAAAAAGAAATAGAAAATTAAGTGGCCATACATCTATTAAAGAAATTAATTTTGTAATTAAAAATCCTTCTACAAAGAAGCTCCAGGCCCATAAGGCTTCAGTGGTGGAGTCTGTAATACATTTAAGGAAGAAATAATACCAATTCTACACAAAAATCTTTTGGAAAATAGAGGAGAAGGGAGCACTTAACTCATTTTGTAAGACTAGCTTAACTCTGATAATAAAACCAAAGGCATTCTAATAAAGAACACTGTAGACCAATGTCCTCATGAGCAGAGACAAAATCCTTAACAAAATATTAGCAAATAGAAACCAGCATTATATAAAAAGAATAATAAATCATGATCAAATGGTGTTTATCCAAGGTATGCAAGGCTGGTTTAGCATTTGAAAATCAGTGTTATTTACCATGTTTGTAGATTTTTAAAAACCATAAGATTATCTTAGTAGATAGAGAAAAAGCATTTGACAAAATTCAATATCCATTCCTGATAAAAACTGAACAAACTAGGAATAGAAGGGAACTTCTTCAATCTGATAATCAAGGGCATCTACAAAAATCCTACAGTTAACATCATACTTAAAATGGCATTGCCAGAAAACCAAAACAAACCAAAACTCTGAATCTGATGAAGTCTCCTTTAGAGAAAATATAGAAGACAGGAACGTGTTAAACAATTTCAGGAGGATGCAGTCAGCAAACTCCAAGTAGTGGGAAACTATAGAATAAGTGTTCTAGCTTTTTTCAACAAATAAACTTTAAGGGAAATAAAAAATTGAGAGAGATGGAAGCAAAACCTATAGATTAAAAGAGACTTAAGAGTCTTATCAACCATCTTCAATGTGTGGACCTTGATGGGATTTTGATTCAGACAAGTGAAATGTACAAAAGCAAAACAAACAACAAAAACCTCAATAACATCTGACATTTATGAGACAATGTGAAATCCAAGTACTGATTGGATATTTGATATTGAGATCCGATTGTTAATTTTTAAAACTATGTTAATGGAATTGTGGTTATGTTAAAAAGGACTCATTTTTTAAAATGTATACTGAATTTTTATAAATGAAATATTCAAAATCTGGGATTCACTTCAAAATTATACTGTGTTATAGGGGAATGGTAGAAATATAGATGAAACAAGATTGGTGTTGAGCTGAGCATTGATGAAGCTGGTTGATGGATATAATCAGGGATTTATTATTCTTTCTCCTTTTGTATACATGTTAAAATTCTCACAATAAAAAGTTAAGAAAAATTATTATAGCTATCAGTTATAGACAAGTATATTTTGGGAGATTTATAAATATTAACATATTTAATTAGAGAAACTGTGTAAGGTTTTTCAAAGATGGGAAAACTACATGTCAGAGGTTTGAAATTTAACATCATACAAATATGTGTAAGTGGCAGAGCCAAAATTTGCAACCCAGGTTTATCAGTGAGTTTCTTTTTTATTTCGCTATACTATGCTGACTCCCGTATACTATGCTGCGTTGTCTTCCTGTTTCCTCTTGTGTTTTATGTTGATATTTATTTCAGAGAACTTGGAGGTCCCATTTTCAATCAGCCCAATTCATTGCCAGAAGCAATGACTGCCTGTCATCCAACAAGGGGCAGGATGCAATAGTTTCCTTTTAGATTTAGAAGTTGGCATGTTTCCTCCCTTTTCCACATTATTCTGAAAAAGAAAAAGGCTATTTATGTAAGCAGAGAATTGCTTCTTGGACTTTGTGTTTTCTGTCACTTTTACTGTTAAACTGACAATTGATCATTTTTTCCCCACTCACTTATGGGATGAAACCATATTGACCTAAAATGTTGTCTTTATAGTTGACGTTCTTTAAAACTTTGTGAGATTTCTAATGCACGTAATTTTTACCTTTTTTGTATTTTTTCTTTAACAGGCTTTGGTTGGAGAGAAGGCTTGTTATCAATCCATCAGTAGCTATGGTGGTCAGATCTTTTATTTGGGGACAAAAGTAAGCTCTTTCACTCTGTGACTTTGGTATTTGTGTGTTATCAGGATAGTTGAGGCTGAAGGAGGTTGCTGGTAAAAAGGGCACTGCATTGCAGAGTGAATATTGATCAGCAATGATCCGAAACTTTTTGTGTTTAAGTAGTCATGATTTTTAGTTAATTAATTTATTTCCTTCACTTTTAGACATATTTTTACTTTTGTTTAGGTACTGACTAATAGGCAATAGGATGCTTATTTTCTTGATTTAGGGATATACTTTCATAAGCTTCCTTCACATTTATATTTTCATGATCAGAGAGATACCTAATCATGGATATTTGTCATGTAATTAAGATGGCCATTAGCTTACTGCATTGAGGCCTTTGAGACAGAATCATTGGTATAGGAACTTTTTGTATATCAAAATTGTTCCTGTGCTTTTTTTTAAAAAAAATTTAATATGGAGAAACATTTCTTCATTATTAAAATTCAAGCAAAATCTTGCCAATTCAGTACAGGGAAATGAGCTTAGGGCCTTTTTTGTTCCTTGTCCATGGAATTAATTCCTTCTTGGACTGTAGACTTACTGACTTGTAAGTGTTTGTTGGATTTACTCTTTAATGTGAGTCCTTCAAGACCTGAATTCTAAGATACACTTCTACCTGTAGTGTGAAATGTTTTTACTTAAAGAGATGTGAAATGAGATGTGGAACTGGAACGAATATGTCTCCCAAACAAGTCTGTTAGAGATGATCAGTTTAATTTCCTTCTCTTTATTTTCCAGTCTGTTTATGTGATGATGCTGAGGAACTGGAGAGAAGTGAGTTCAAGTAATTTTATGTGTTAGAACTACCAAATTGATAGCATCTTAACACCTCTATTTTGACTTTGCTGAAGAAGTTATTTGGATTTGTGCTTTTTAATTTCAGAAGTATAAATCAAAACCATTATAATTGTTAGGTATTTGATTTGCTAAAACTGATTGTATAAGTTAGAGCTAGGTTTTGTGACATATATTAGAAAATTCAAAATAATAGTGGCTTAAACCAGATTTCTTTCTTTCATGTAAAAGCAATCTGGAGGTAGGCAGTCCGTGGCTTGTGTGGGAGCTCCATGAGCTTTTAAGTATGCTGTCCCATTCTACCATCTTTGTGTTTGAATTCTAGTCTCAAGGTCATTTTTTAGTCCGGAATGGTTGCTAGAGCTCCAGCTGTTAAGTCCACATTCCAGGAAGGAGGAAAGAGAAAATAAAGCGTGGCCCTTACCTTTTAAGGTGACATCTCAGAAATACCATACAACACTTCCATTTGTCATTGGCCAGAGCTTAGTCACATTGCCCCAAGTGGCTCCAAGGGAGTCTTAGAAATGTCCTTCAGCTGGTGTATTGCTGTATCAAATAAAATTGGGGTTCGTTACCAAGAAGGAGGGACTGGATGTCATGATAAATAACCAGCCATTTCTGTTACAATGATAATCCAGCTATTTCCCTTTTTCATTTTTAGGCCCTGTGGCTCTCTGTACTAGCCCTACAGTCTTTGTACTATCCAATCCTTTAAGAAATTATTTTTCTTGGAAATAAGATATTCATATAGTTACTGAAGTAGTTTTAGCTATTAAGAACAACTTCTGGAAAGATATTAGGTAGACTAGGAATTCTGACTGGTGATTGGTCAAAGGGGCCTGGTATCTCTCATTTGTTCATTTTAGAGAGTGGATCATCTCCTGAAACAGGATTGTCTTACAGAAGCCTTGGCTCTTGCATGGTCTTTCCACGAAGGAAAAGCAAAAGCAGTAGTGGGTAAGTAGACAGAATACCAGTGTGGTAGACATTGTTTTTCTGAAGTAGAGGGAATGAATAATACTAATCACTCACAGAACACTTTTAACTGAGTGTTTAAGTATTTTATAAACAAGATGTTAATAAACCTAACATACTTTCAGTAAAGAAGGTTGATGACAAATACAGGGTATTAAAATTAAAATGTTACTTTTACAGTTCTTTGAAAAGGAAAATTTACTGTTAGAACAAACAGGAAGTACATTGATATGTTCTCTGGTGTGATAGATGTGAGGTGTTTCTATTATGGCATATTATTCAATATTTCGATACTTAAGGATTGTTATAATTACATGTATTGTTAGCACACGTTATGAATAGGGGACGCACAGTTTCACTCCTGAAGATGTGGACTACCTTGTTTTTTAATGGATTTTGCTTTTCTACAGGATTATCAGGAGATGCCAGCAAGCGAAAAGCTGTTGTTGCAGACCGGGTGAGTATTTTATTAATAATAGGGTCTTTACTAGGGTGTAGTACAGATTTGCTTTCGATATTAGCTAATATCTTCAGGTATGAGTAGGTAAATGGCTACAATTGAGAGAGTGTGTAAAAAACAAGTCAGGTTTTAATTCCCTGGTGTCATCATAAATACTTTTTAAATTTCTTCTTAACCCCTTTTCTTTTTTCCCTGCCCAGTCTCTTATGAAGATAGTAAAGTAGTAAAATAGCCAAAAGACAGCAGAAAGGAGGAGGAAAACCTTGGCATCTGGATTATTTCTGAACTGAATTAATAGCCCATAAAAAGTTGACATTTGTTAGTTTTTATGAACTTAATTGTAATTATGAGAAATACTATATGTGTAAATGTTTGTGTTGCCTGGAAGTGGCAGAGAGGGTTAATGTTTTAATGTTATTATTATTAATTAGCATTAATATGATTGATGCTAATATTTAATATTATTCTTCTGTTCCTGGTCTATACTTGAATTCATTGACTATGGAATTCCTTCCCTTCTGTTGATATAAATGCATTGGTAAAAATTATATTCCAGGCCAGGCGTAGTGGCTGACGCCAGTAATCCTAGCACTCTGGGAGGCCGAGGCGGGCAGATTGTTTGAGCTCAGGAGTTCGAGACCAGCCTGAGCAAGAGCGAGACCCCGTCTCTACTAAAAA